AGTTCCTTAGAAAAAAAATGGGCCCATATTATCAATTTCCATTTATTGTAGACGCACAAAAGAGGTAGAAAGCATTCTGCCTGTCGATGTGCCCTGCCTATATTTACGTACTTCAAATGATTGAGATATTCAGTCCTGCCCCCCCCTGCTGAACATTGGTGGCTAGGATTATTCGTCTCGCTAGCGTTGTTGTTGGCTCTTTTTTCTTCGCGCGTCGTGCTCCGAGGCGCCGTCTCCAGCTGTACAGCTCCAAGAGAAGGCAACAATGCAACGGCACTGTTTAGGATTGTGCAATGATGGCCGGCCGAGGAAGCTTTGTGGACGCTGCAACCACAGTGTGCCCAAGTAGCATGTTTTCGTGGCTCATCATCCGAGTTCCTTTCGACCTCTTAGGGCCTTGTGATCTCCCTGTCTCAAAGGATGTATAGGATGCGTCAGGGAGGAGAATCGCAAACCATACCTTCAGTGAGCCCAAAAAGGTCCACTCGTCACCTGACCCGAACGTTGAGCCAGCCAACGGTATGGTTTGCTCCTGCGAAAGCTCTAGATGACTCTAGATGGCAGCTGCCAATCGTCGGGCGATTGCCCGGGGCAGATTTGAAAGGAAAAAGAACAACGTGCTGTGGGTGCGTACTGTTTTTAGTAGGCTGGCCATGTAGCGCCCAAGCCTGTGTTCAGGAAGCAGCAGCTTTTTGTTCAGGTCATCCCTGTTAGCATCACAGCTAGTAGCACATCATGCTTGCGGGGATACTCGAACTCTAGTAGGTTCAGCTTTCGGCTGCTGTTCCCATGCTACTCATACTAAATTGAGCTGTCAGTCTACTGCGTTCCAACACATGCTTCGTGTTGAAACGTGCGGGAAGAAGCCTTCACACTTCTGGGTGCACACCTTCGAACTCGGTGACAGCGGCACCACGTTCTCGGTGCACACCCTCGAACTCCATGACGGAGGCACGTTCTCCTCGCGGATGAAGCTGTGCCTCAGTGCTGCAGTCGTGGTGGCCCGAGCCGCGACATCCTTGGCCAAGAGCTGGTCTACGAACTTGCGCGCCTGCTCCGAGACACGGCGCCAGATCGAGGTGCTCAGGTTCAACTTGCTCTTGAAAACAGCATGGCGGACCTGCACCTCCTCCTCAAGCTTGCGGAGTCCAAACGGCATGTCTCCGACGAGGAGTGTGTGCACAATCAATCCCACCCCCCAAACGTCCGAGCAGGCACCGCAGAGTCCGCACCAGGCTTCAGGAGAGAGCCAACGCAGTGTGCCCCCAGGAGCAACATCGTGGAGGTCCGTTGCGCTGGACTCTTGGATCTTTTCGGGCAGCACCCAAGCCAAGCCCATGTCGAAGAGCTGTACGTTTCCTGGCTGGTCAATATTTCGGACTGTACGGACAAAGCCAAAGTTGTCCGGTTTAACATCACGATGCACGGCTCCAGCCACACGATGTAAGTAGTGCACTGCCGAGAGCATCTGCTGCGCCAAGTCTGCGCAGGTGCGCTCGGGAACTGCTGTCTTCATGGCGGTCATCCAATTTTGCAGTGTTGGCCCCTCCAGAAGGTTCATGACAATGTACATGCTTTGCGGCATGTCCAAGACCCTCAGAAGATTTCGCGTCACGTGCTCTCGCGTCGCCCTCTCCTCACCCAGGGCCTGAAGGAACTCGAGCATGCGACTCATGGGGACGTTCACGAAGCTTTTGGAGAGCGACTCCAACTCTGTATCGCGGTTGGGGAGTTTAACCCTCTTCATTGCGTAGGCGATGCCCGGGCTCAGTGGCTTGAAGCGGCTCAGTCCCTGTCCAGTGGGCTCGACCCTGCACACGGTCCCAAATCCACCACGACCGAGGTGCCCTCCTGCTGTAAAGTAGTCTTCGATGCATCCACGATGAATGACGGCAACGCCATCATAGCTATCCTGGATGTCAATGTAGCGTTTTCGAAGGGTCGCACTGGCCTCTCCCACTGTCCATGCAGGACGGGAGCAAAACCAGCTGGCAAATCCCTTCAACACTGTCTGCGCTAACAGGTAGCAATCCCTCTTCGAAGGAAGGAGTCCCTGCGCAACCACGCCGGTAAGAACCGGACTATCGCTGTAGTCAGGCAGCATGAGAATGGAGCGCGGCACAGGGAAACTAGATGGAACTAGACTCCGCTTGGAGCCAAAAGCTGACCTGTGGGTTCCGGGCACAATCGATTTGTGTCAGGGAGGAGAATCGCATACCATACCAGTGAGCCCAGAAGATCCACACATCTCCACGCGTCACCTGACCTGCCTCACGTTGAGCCAGCCAACGGTCTGGTTTGCTCTTGCGAAAGACCTAGACGGGCAGCTGCCAATCGTGCCCTGGGCAGATTTGATAGGAGACGGATGCAACATGCAGTGGGTACGTACTGTTTTTAAGGCTGGCAACGTAGCGCCCAAGCCTATATCCAGGAAGCAGCAGCTTTTTGTCAGGTCAGGACTATACGACCCCATCAGCATCACAGCTAGTAGCACACCATGCTTACGGGGATACTCGAACTCTAGTAGGTTCAGCTTTCGGCTGCTGTTCCCATGCTACTCATCCGATGTTCAGAGATTCAGAGCTCAGTCAACTGCGTGAAAGTAAATGCTTCGTCTTTCCAAGCGCGGGAAGAAGCCTCCCGCTTCTGGGCGCACACCTTCGGACTCTGTGATGACGGTGGCACGTTCTCGGTGCACACCCTCGAACTCCGTGACGGAGGCACGTTCTCCTCTCGGATGAAGCTGTGCCTCAGTGCTGCAGTATGCTGCAGTCGTGGTGGCCCGAGCCGCGACATCCTTGGCCAAGAGTTGGTCTACGAACTTGCGCGCCTGCTCGGAGACACGGCGCCAGATCGAGGTGCTCAGGTTCAACTTGCTCTTGAAAACAGCATTGCGGACCTGCACCTCCTCCTCAAGCTTGCGGAGTCCAAACGGCATGTCTCCGACGAGGAGTGTGTGCACAATCAATCCCACCCCCCAAACGTCCGAGCAGGCACCGCAGAGTCCGCACCAGGCTCCAGGAGAGAGCCAACGCAGTGTGCCCCCAGGAGCAACATCGTGGAGGTCCGTTGCGCTGGACTCTTGGATCTTTTCGGGCAGCACCCAAGCCAAGCCCATGTCGAAGAGCTGTACGTTCCCTGGCTGGTCAATATTTCGGACTGTACGGACAAAGCCAAAGTTGTCCGGTTTAACATCACGATGCACGGCTCCAGCCACACGATGTAAGTAGTGCACTGCCGAGAGCATCTGCTGCGCCAAGTCTGCGCAGGTGCGCTCGGGAACTGCTGTCTTCATGGCGGTTATCCAACCTTGCAGCATAGGCCCCTCCAGAAGGTTCATGACAATGTAGTATGCCTTGCTGCATGTCCAAGACTCCAAGACCCTCATGAGGGCCACGCGAGAGCACGTCACACGCAATCTAGATTCCGGGCGACGTGGCCCTCTCCTCACCCAGGGCCGGAAGGAACTCAAGCATGCGGCTCATGGGGACGTTCACGAAGCTCTTGGACAGCGATCTCGGTTGGGAAGTTTCACCTTCTTCATGAAGGGTCAAACTTCCCAACCGAGATCCAGAACTTGAGTCGCTGTCCAACAGCTTCGTGAAAGTCCCCATGAGCCGCACTCGATCCTGCACACGGTCCCAAATCCAACACGACAGAGATGCCCTCCCTCTGTAAAGTAGTCTTCGATGCATCCACGATGAATGACGGCAACGCCATCATAACTCTCCTGGATCTCAACGTAGTAACGTTTTCGAAGGGTCGCACTGGCCTCTCCCACTGTCCACGCAGGACGGGAGCAAAACCAGCTGGCAAATCCCCTCAACACTGTCTGCGCCAACAGGTAGCAATCCCTCTTCGAAGGAAGGAGCCCCTGCGCAACCACGCCGGTAAGAACCGGACTATCGCTGTAGTCAGGCAGCATGAGAATGGAGCGCGGCAGCGCGGCACAGGGAAACTAGATGAAACTAGACTCCGCTTGAAGCCAAAAGCTGACCTGTGGGCTGGGAACTGTGTTGGATTGTTCGGGATCGTTCGGGATCCTTCGGGACTGGGTTGGATCGTTCGGGACTTCGTCTCGCTAGCACTGCTCTCGGCTCTTTTTTCTTCGCGCGTCGTGCTCCGAGGCGCCGTCTCCAGCTGTACAGCTCCAAGATAAGGCAACAATGCAACGGCACTGTTTAGGAATGTGCAATGATGCCCGGGCGAGGAAGCTTTGCGGACGCGGCAACCACAGTGTGCCCAAGTAGCATGTTTCCGTGGCTCATCATCCGAGTTCCTTTCGACCTCTTAGGGCCTTTGGTCTCCCTGTCTCAAAGGATGCATAGGATGCGTCAGGGAGGAGAATCGCAAACCATACCTTCAGTGAGCCCAAAAGATCCACACATATCCACACGTCACCTGACCTGCCTAATCATGAGCCAGCCACCGGTATGGTTTGCTTCTGCGAAGGCTCTAGATGACTCTAGATGGCATCTGCCAATCGTCGGGCAATTTTGCCCTGGGCAGATTGGAAAGGAGAAATATGCAACATGCAGTGGGCACGTACTGTTTCGTAGGCTGGCTATATCCAGGAAGCAGCAGCTATTTGCTCAGGACCACACGACCCCGTTAGCATCACAGCTAGTAGCACACCATGCTTGCGGGGATACTCGAACTCTAGTAGGTTCAGCTTTCGGCTGCTGTTCCCGTGTTACTCATACAATTTTCGACGCTCAGTCAACTGCATGAAAGTAAATACTTCGTCTTCCCACGCGCGGGAAGAAGCCTCCACACTTCTGGGTGCACACCTTCGGACTCTGTGGTGACGGTGGCACGTTCTCGGTGCACGCCCTCGAACTCCATGACGGAGGCACGTTCTCCTCTCGGATGAAGCTGTGCCTCAGTGCTGCAGTCGTGGTGGCCCGAGCCGCGACATCCTTGGCCAAGAGCTGGTCTACAAATTTGCGCGCCTGCGCGGAGACGCGGCGCCAGATCGAGGTGCTCAGGTTCAACTTGCTCTTGAAAACAGCATTGCGGACCTGCACCTCCTCCTCAAGCTTGCGGAGTCCAAACGGCATGTCTCCGACGAGGAGTGTGTGCACAATCAATCCCACCCCCCAAACGTCCGAGCAGGCACCGCAGAGTCCGCACCAGGCTTCAGGAGAGAGCCAACCCAGTGTGCCCCCAGGAGCAACATCGTGGAGGTCCGTTGCGCTGGACTCTTGGATCTTTTCGGGCAGCACCCAAGCCAAGCCCATGTCGAAGAGCTGTACGTTCCCTGGCTGGTCAATATTTCGGACTGTACGGACAAAGCCAAAGTTGTCCGGTTTAACATCACGATGCACGGCTCCAGCCACACGATGTAAGTAGTGCACTGCCGAGAGCATCTGCTGCGCCAAGTCTGCGCAGGTGCGCTCGGGAACTGCTGTCTTCATGGCGGTTATCCAACCTTGCAGCATAGGCCCCTCCAGAAGGTTCATGACAATGTAGTATGCCTTGCTGCATGTCCAAGACTCCAAGACCCTCATGAGGGCCACGCGAGAGCACGTCACTCGCAATCTAGATTGCGGGCGACGTGCTCTCGCGTGGCCCTCTCCTCACCCAGGGCTGGTGGGAACTCAAGCATGCGGCTCATGGGGACGTTCACGAAGCTCTTGGACAGCGATCTCGGTTGGGAAGTTTCACCTTCTTCATGAAGGGTCAAACTTCCCAACCGAGATCCAGAACTTGAGTCGCTGTCCAAGAGCTTCGTGAAAGTCCCCATGAGCCGCACTCGATCCTGCACACGGTCCCAAATCCAACACGACCGAGGTGCCCTCCCTCTGTAAAGTAGTCTTCGATGCATCCACGATGAATGACGGCAACGCCATCATAACTCTCCTGGATCTCAGCGCAGTAACGTTTTCGAAGGGTCGCACTGGCCTCTCCCACTGTCCACGCAGGACGGGAGCAAAACCAGCTGGCAAATCCCCTCAACACTGTCTGCGCCAACAGGTAGCAATCCCTCTTCGAAGGAAGGAGCCCCTGCGCAACCACGCCGGCAAGAACCGGACTATCGCTGTAGTCAGGCAGCATGAGAATGGAGCGCGGCAGCGCGGCACAGGGAAACTAGATGAAACTAGACTCCGCTTGGAGCCAAAAGCTGACCTGTGGGCTGGGAACTGTGTTGGATTGTTCGGGATGGTTCGGGATCCTTCGGGACTGGGTTGGATCGTTCGGGACTTCGTCTCGCTAGCACTGCTCTCGGCTCTTTTTCGTCGCGCGTCGTGCTCCGAGGCGCCGTCTCCAGCTGTACAGCTCCAAGATAAGGCAACAATGCAACGGCACTGTTTAGGAATGTGCAATGATGCCCGGGCGAGGAAGCTTTGCGGACGCGGCAACCACAGTGTGCCCAAGTAGCATGTTTCCGTGGCTCATCATCCGAGTTCCTTTCGACCTCTTAGGGCCTTTGGTCTCCCTGTCTCAAAGGATGCATAGGATGCGTCAGGGAGGAGAATCGCAAACCATACCTTCAGTGAGCCCAAAAGATCCACACATATCCACACGTCACCTGACCTGCCTAATCATGAGCCAGCCACCGGTATGGTTTGCTTCTGCGAAGGCTCTAGATGACTCTAGATGGCAGCTGCCAATCGTCGGGCAATTTTGCCCTGGGCAGATTTGAAAGGAGAAATATGCAACATGCAGTGGGCACGTACAGTTTCTTAGGCTGGCTATATCCAGGAAGCAGCAGCTATTTGTTCAGGACCACACGACCCCGTTAGCATCACAGCTAGTAGCACACCATGCTTGCGGGGATACTCGAACTCTAGTAGGTTCAGCTTTCGGCTGCTGTTCCCATGCTACTCATACAATTTTCGACGCTCAGTCAACTGCGTGAAAGTAAATACTTCGTCTTCCCACGCGCGGGAAGAAGCCTCCACACTTCTGGGTGCACACCTTCGGACTCTGTGGTGACGGTGGCACGTTCTCGGTGCACGCCCTCGAACTCCATGACGGAGGCACGTTCTCCTCTCGGATGAAGCTGTGCCTCAGTGCTGCAGTCGTGGTGGCCCGAGCCGCGACATCCTTGGCCAAGAGCTGGTCTACAAATTTGCGCGCCTGCGCGGAGACGCGGCGCCAGATCGAGGTGCTCAGGTTCAACTTGCTCTTGAAAACAGCATTGCGGACCTGCACCTCCTCCTCAAGCTTGCGGAGTCCAAACGGCATGTCTCCGACGAGGAGTGTGTGCACAATCAATCCCACCCCCCAAACGTCCGAGCAGGCACCGCAGAGTCCGCACCAGGCTTCAGGAGAGAGCCAACCCAGTGTGCCCCCAGGAGCAACATCGTGGAGGTCCGTTGCGCTGGACTCTTGGATCTTTTCGGGCAGCACCCAAGCCAAGCCCATGTCGAAGAGCTGTACGTTTCCTGGCTGGTCAATATTTCGGACTGTACGGACAAAGCCAAAGTTGTCCGGTTTAACATCACGATGCACGGCTCCAGCCACACGATGTAAGTAGTGCACTGCCGAGAGCATCTGCTGCGCCAAGTCTGCGCAGGTGCGCTCGGGAACTGCTGTCTTCATGGCGGTCATCCAATTTTGCAGTGTTGGCCCCTCCAGAAGGTTCATGACAATGTAGTATGCCTTGCTGCATGTCCAAGACTCCAAGACCCTCATGAGGGCCACGCGAGAGCACGTCACTCGCAATCTAGATTGCGGGCGACGTGCTCTCGCGTGGCCCTCTCCTCACCCAGGGCTGGAAGGAACTCAAGCATGCGGCTCATGGGGACGTTCACGAAGCTCTTGGACAGCGATCTCGGTTGGGAAGTTTCACCTTCTTCATGAAGGGTCAAACTTCCCAACCGAGATCCAGAACTTGAGTCGCTGTCCAAGAGCTTCGTGAAAGTCCCCATGAGCCGCACTCGATCCTGCACACGGTCCCAAATCCAACACGACCGAGGTGCCCTCCCTCTGTAAAGTAGTCTTCGATGCATCCACGATGAATGACGGCAACGCCATCATAACTCTCCTGGATCTCAGCGCAGTAACGTTTTCGAAGGGTCGCACTGGCCTCTCCCACTGTCCACGCAGGACGGGAGCAAAACCAGCTGGCAAATCCCCTCAACACTGTCTGCGCCAACAGGTAGCAATCCCTCTTCGAAGGAAGGAGCCCCTGCGCAACCACGCCGGCAAGAACCGGACTATCGCTGTAGTCAGGCAGCATGAGAATGGAGCGCGGCAGCGCGGCACTTGGAAACTAGATGAAACTAGACTCCGCTTGGAGCCAAAAGCTGACCTGTGGGCTGGGAACTGTGTTGGATTGTTCGGGATGGTTCGGGATGCTTCGGGACTGGGTTGGATCGTTCGGGACTTCGTCTCGCTAGCACTGCTCTCGGCTCTTTTTTCGTCGCGCGTCGTGCTCCGAGGCGCCGTCTCCAGCTGTACAGCTCCAAGATAAGGCAACAATGCAACGGCACTGTTTAGGAATGTGCAATGATGCCCGGGCGAGGAAGCTTTGCGGACGCGGCAACCACAGTGTGCCCAAGTAGCATGTTTCCGTGGCTCATCATCCGAGTTCCTTTCGACCTCTTAGGGCCTTTGGTCTCCCTGTCTCAAAGGATGCATAGGATGCGTCAGGGAGGAGAATCGCAAACCATACCTTCAGTGAGCCCAAAAGATCCACACATATCCACACGTCACCTGACCTGCCTAATCATGAGCCAGCCACCGGTATGGTTTGCTTCTGCGAAGGCTCTAGATGACTCTAGATGGCAGCTGCCAATCGTCGGGCAATTTTGCCCTGGGCAGATTTGAAAGGAGAAATATGCAACATGCAGTGGGCACGTACAGTTTCTTAGGCTGGCTATATCCAGGAAGCAGCAGCTATTTGTTCAGGACCACACGACCCCGTTAGCATCACAGCTAGTAGCACACCATGCTTGCGGGGATACTCGAACTCTAGTAGGTTCAGCTTTCGGCTGCTGTTCCCATGCTACTCATACAATTTTCGACGCTCAGTCAACTGCGTGAAAGTAAATACTTCGTCTTCCCACGCGCGGGAAGAAGCCTCCACACTTCTGGGTGCACACCTTCGGACTCTGTGGTGACGGTGGCACGTTCTCGGTGCACGCCCTCGAACTCCATGACGGAGGCACGTTCTCCTCTCGGATGAAGCTGTGCCTCAGTGCTGCAGTCGTGGTGGCCCGAGCCGCGACATCCTTGGCCAAGAGCTGGTCTACAAATTTGCGCGCCTGCGCGGAGACGCGGCGCCAGATCGAGGTGCTCAGGTTCAACTTGCTCTTGAAAACAGCATTGCGGACCTGCACCTCCTCCTCAAGCTTGCGGAGTCCAAACGGCATGTCTCCGACGAGGAGTGTGTGCACAATCAATCCCACCCCCCAAACGTCCGAGCAGGCACCGCAGAGTCCGCACCAGGCTTCAGGAGAGAGCCAACGCAGTGTGCCCCCAGGAGCAACATCGTGGAGGTTCGTTGCGGTGGACTCTTGGATCTTTTCGGGCAGCACCCAAGCCAAGCCCATGTCGAAGAGCTGTACGTTCCCTGGCTGGTCAATATTTCGGACTGTACGGACAAAGCCAAAGTTGTCCGGTTTAACATCACGATGCACGGCTCCAGCCACACGATGTAAGTAGTGCACTGCCGAGAGCATCTGCTGCGCCAAGTCTGCGCAGGTGCGCTCGGGAACTGCTGTCTTCATGGCGGTCATCCAACCTTGCAGTGTTGGCCCCTCCAGAAGGTTCATGACAATGTACATGCTTTGCGGCATGTCCAAGACCCTCAGAAGATTTCGCGTCACGTGCTCTCGCGTCGCCCTCTCCTCACCCAGGGCCTGAAGGAACTCGAGCATGCGACTCATGGGGATGTTCACGAAGCTTTTGGAGAGCGACTCCAACTCTGTATCGCGGTTGGGGAGTTTAACCCTCTTCATTGCGTAGGCGATGCCCGGGCTCAGTGGCTTGAAGCGGCTCAGTCCCTGTCCAGTGGGCTCGACCCTGCACACGGTCCCAAATCCACCACGACCGAGGTGGCCTCCCTCTGTAAAGTAGTCTTCGATGCATCCACGATGGATGACGGCAACGCCATCATAACTCTCCTGGATGTCAATGTAACGTTTTCGAAGGGTCGCACTGGCCTCTCCCACTGTCCACGCAGGACGAGAGCAAAACCAGCTGGCAAATCCTCTCAACACTGTCTGCGCCAACAGGTAGCAATCCCTCTTCGAAGGAAGGAGCCCCTGCGCAACCACGCCGGCAAGAACCGGACTATCGCTGTAGTCAGGCAGCATGAAAATGGAGCGCGGCAGCGCGGCACAGGGAAACTAGATGAAACTAGACTCTGCTTGGAGCCAAAAGCTGACAGGCTGACCTGTGGGCTGCTGTTGGTTTGGGGTTCCAGGCACAGTCGATTTGTGATAGGAGACGCCAAGTACTGCGACAGCGTCTCAGAGACATGCTGATCCGGGAAGCCAGGCTGCTGCTGAATCCGATCTGGGCCATGGTGACTCACCAAGGACTTGGCAGCCTGACTTGGTGAGGACCAAACATGCCCCTACTGCAGCAGGAGCCCCTAAAATTCAACCCGAGCCAGAAAAGGCCAAGTTGCTGTGCAAGGTCGGCCGGCTCGGCGGCCTTTTGCCTCTCTCCATTCGCCTGCCGAAGTGTCGAGCTCACGGGCATCGAGGCTCAGTGAAAACACAATGGTCCAGAGTCCAGACTTACTGACAAGACTCATCCAGGGCTACAAATTGACGCGTTGGAATGCTCAGATACGGAGGGTGTAACTGGCAGACAGAAGCTAAAGCCGAGGCAAGCTGAGGACTACGCGTCTCGCCTGGCGGAATGGAGTACCCATCTAGCCAACAAGCGACTTTTGGCAGCTCAGCACCATCCACGTAAGAGGTCCTTGGCTCCATGGCTTACAGCTTCGGGACCAAGCGTTGAACCTTGGGATGTTCCCCCTGAAACAAACAGTCCTCAATGGGGATTATGATAGGGAATACTAGAACCCCTGTTGAGGACTGTTAGTATAAGGGTGAACATCCCAAGTTGAACCTTTGAACAGCAGAGAACAGCCGGGCTGCTGGACGGGACGCTGCAGGGTTCTTGGCAGCTCCGCCTACGCAAGCTCCGTCCTACATTGGCCATGGAACCCTTTTCGAAACTCGACTTGGCTGACTGCCAGAAGACGCGCCTCCCTAAACCCCGAACCGTACTTAAATCCTCCTCTGAAACCTAAAAAAACACTTGAAATCCTCTTCTGGAACCTTCAAAGTACCTTATATCCTTGAAACCTAAGTAAAGCAAAGTTCCTCGATCCAGCCTGGGCTGCTGGAGGCCCACTGCGGTTCGCATCCTTTGGTGCACTTCTTGGATCTGGAACCTCACAGGTCGGTGTGTGTCATCTGCACTCATAAGAGCATTGCATACGCATTAAATGCAAAAGAAAACAAAGCATGTGTACACATACACATATGATGTAGAGTTGTCTATATGTATATATCTGTGTGTGTGTGTGTCATAACTCATAACCCCCCCTTCCCCCCCATGTTAACGCATCCATCCCTGGGATTTCCCCGTCCGGCGGCACAAACCGAAAACCGGGAAAATCGACCATAATCGACCCACTGCTGACTTTGTGGGTGCAGGGTTAAGGGTTGAAATCGGAACCAGTACCGTATAGGTTGTCGGTCGTTCGCGATCCTTCGGGGTATTTCGGGATCGTTCGGGACTGTGTTGGATTGTTCGGGATCCTTCGGGATCGTTCGGAAACGTTCGGGACTGGGTTGGATCGTTCGGGACTTCGACTCGCTAGAACTGCTCTCGGCTCTTTGTTCTTCGCGCGTCGTGCTCCGAGGCACCATCTCCAGCTGTACAGATCCAAGTAAGACAAGGCAACAATGCAACGGCACTGTCTAGGATTCTGCAACGATGGCCGAGGAAGTTCTGCGGACGCTGCAACCACACTGTGCCCAAGTAGCATGCTTCCGTGGCTATCCGAGTTCCTTTCGACCTCTTGGGGCCTTTGGTCTCCCTGTCTCAAAGGACACCATGCTTGCGGAGATACTCGAACTCTAGTATGTTCGGCTTTCGGCTGCTGTTCCCATGCTACTCATCCGATGTTCAGCGCTCAGTCAACCGCGTGAAAGTAGATGCTTCGTCTTCCATGTCTTCCCACGCGCGAAGAAGCCTCCACACTTCTGGGCGCACACCTTCGGACTCTGTGGTGACGGTGGCACGTTCTCGGCGCACACCCTCGAACTCCATGACATAGGCACGTTCTCCTCGCGGATGAAGTTGTGCCTCAGTGCTGCAGTATGCTGCAGTCGTGGTGGCCCGAGCCGCGACATCCTTGGCCAAGAGCTGGTCTACAAATTGGCGCGCCTGCGCGGATCAGGTTCAACTTGCTCTTGAAAACAGCATTGCGGACCTGCACCTCCTCCTCAAGCTTGCGGAGTCCAAACGGCATGTCTCCGACGAGGAGGGTGTGCACAATCAATCCCACCCCCCAAACGTCCGAGCAGGCACCGCAGAGTCCACACCAGGCTTCAGAGAGCCAACCCAGTGTGCCCCCAGGAGCAACATCGTGGAGGTCCGTTGCGCTGGACTCTTGGATCTTTTCGGGCAGCACCCAAGCCAAGCCCATGTCGAAGAGCTGTACGTTTCCTGGCTGGTCAATATTTCGGACTGTACGGACAAAGCCGGTTTAACATCACGATGCACAGCTCCAACCACACGGTGCAAGTAGTGCACTGCCGAGAGCATCTGCTGCGCCAAGTCTGCGCAGGTGCGCTCGGGAACTGCTGTCTTCAGGGAGGTCATCCAACCTTGCAGTGTTGGCCCCTCCAGAAGGTTCATGACAATGTAGTATGCTTTGCGGCATGTCCAAGACTCCAAGACACTCATGAGGGCCACGCGAGAGCACGTCACGCGGAATCTAGATTCCGGGCGACGTGCTCTCGCGTGGCCCTCTCCTCACCCAGGGCCGGAAGGAACTCAAGCATGCGGCTGAAGCTCTTGGACAGCGACTCCAGTTCTGGATCTCTGTTCGGAAGTTTCACCCTCTTCATGGCGTAGGCCATGCCCGGGCTCAGTGGCTTGAAGTGGCTCAGTCCATGTCCAGTGGGCTCGACCCTGCGCACGGTCCCAAATCCACCTCGACCGAGGTGCCTTCCCTCTGCAAAGTAGTAGCGCGGCACAGGGAAACTAGATGAAACTAGACTCCGCTTGGAGCCAAAAGCTGACAGGCTGACGTGTTAACGTACTGCGACAGTGTCTAAGAGACGCAGAAAGAGGTCGTTGGGACTTTGCGGTGCAGCTGAGACATGCTGATCAGGGAAGCCAGGCTGCTGCTGAATCCGATCTGGGCCATCACTGGGTGACTCACCGACTTGGCAGCCTGACTTGGTGAGGACCAAACATGCCCCTACCGCAGCAAGAGCCTAACATTCAACCCGAGCCTTCTAGAAAAGAGGCCAAGTTGCTGTGCAAGGTCTGTCGGCCCGGCGGCCGTTTGTCTGACCCTCTCCATTCGCCTGCCAAAGAGTCGAGTCGCTCACAGGCGTCGAGGCTCATTGCAACAGCAAGGTCCAGCTTACTGAGTCGTGTCGTCCAGGGCTACAAGTGAAATAACGCGCTGGCAGCAAGACGAACTCAAAGCGGCGCGACAGCAGCTACTGACCTAATCCGACCTACTTTGCTTAGATACGCAGGGTGTTTAACTGGCAGAAGCCAAACACGAGGCAAGCTGAGGCCTACGTGACTCGCCTGGCGGAATGGAGTAGCCATCTAGCCTACAAGCGACTTTGGCAGCTCAGCACCTGGAGTGTGACGTCGGTGCTTTAGACTCTGCACCGGCTGGGTCCACGTAGGAGGTCCTTGGCTCCATGGCTTACAGCTTTGGGATCAAGCGTTGAATCTTAAAACGGCAGAGAACAGCCGGGCTGCTGGACAGGAAGATGCAGGGCCCTCGACAACTCCGCCTGCGCAAGCTCCGTCCAACCCTTTTTGAAACTCGACTTGGGTGACTGCCAGAAGACACGCCTTAACGAAGAAACCCTTTGAACCCTAAACCCTAAACCGTATTCAAATCCTCTGAAAGACCTAAGTGAAGCCATGTTCCTCGATCCAGCCTGGACTTCTGGAGGCCCAGCTACGGATCGCATCCTTTGTTGCACTTCTTGGATCTGGAACCTGACAGGTCGGTGCAAGTCATCTGCACTCATAAGAGTATTGCATACGCGTTAAAATACAAAAGATAAAAGTATGTGTACACATACACATATATTGTGTATTTGTACGTATGTATGTGTGTGTGTGTGATAACCCCCCCCCCCATGTTAACGCGTCCATCCCTGAGACTTCCCCGTCCGGCGGCACAAGCCGAAAACCCGGAAAATCGACCATAATCGACCCACTGGGGAGGTTTGGGGTTCAGGGTTGAGGGTTTAAATCGCGTAGGTTGCCGGTCGTTCGCGATCCTTCGGGATCGTTCGGGACTGTGTTGGATCGTTCGGACTACTTTTTTAGCAGTGCAAAATCTCGGCCATTAGGGCAAATCCGGCCGGTAGCTTTTCAGGAATACAAAAAAATGTTTCTGAAAAGTAATGCAAGATTTTGACCAATGATCCTGCGCAAAAGGGATCATCCTAGCAACAAGCTTTCGCAATCACAACCCATAGAACCCACAATGAATATCGCACGCCAGACTACCACCATAGATCTGCATACAGACACGCCCAGAGTTGCTTCTGAAATGTACAAATCAACCGAGATTCGAATACGTAAAGAGCGTTGGGGGTGACCTACCTGCAATCCCTGCTTCGCATCGATCGTCTCACCAATCGTTTTCAAGTGACATTGACCTTCCAATGAGAACCCCCCGTGACGCTTCAAGTCGGAAACCTTGAGAAGCTGCCGACCTCACATGCTCCATACTGTTCTGGAGAGATCGTCGACTTTGAACGACGCCTGGCTTTCGATTGCATCAAACATCATACATGCTTTCAAGAGCTCCAATCCGATTGGAGACATAGCTAGGCGCATGTCCAGATCATTTTGTCTGCCCCATGCGAGCGCTGTCGATCATGAGGTTGAAGATCAGTTTGCTCGCTGTCGATCATGATCATGGGGTTGAAGATCAGCTTCAGTGACGTTGTTGTCCGCGGGCATCTGCATCAGCCGCCGTCACCGTGTCTTCGACCCGACCAGAATCAGGCAACCGACTATTGCCTGGCGCGTGCCTCAGCTGAGCATCGAACATCGTCGAACCATCCTTGCCCAATCCGCTCAAATCCCTGCTGGCCTTCTTGCCTTATCCGCCTTCTCCCGTGCCCCCCCCCTTCAAGGCCAAGAAGCTGCCCGTGCCTGTGCCAGAGCCGACTGTCCTCTCATAAGTGCAAGTCTTTGCAAGATTGCTACCGTTCACTTTGAAAGCACGAAAGCACGACAAGAACGCTTGTCGTGAGACGGCACAAGCACAGAAGTGAAAAGCCTGAGGCGAACTGAACCAAACTGGAAATACAGGAACTCACGCCATGCTTGTTCACCTTCCCAAGATGTCCTTTGGGAGCAGCAGCGGACATGTCAGATTGCGTTGCCTGGCACGATGCTCGTGGCTCAAGCTTGGGAGTTTGCCTTCAGTAGGTGAGCGGTGAAAGAAGGTGAACCTGAAGCATCTCCTTTTCCAAGTTGATAGCCATTCTCTTGTGTGCAAATCTCAGGTCGAAGATGTACACATCTGGCCAGAAGGACTGGCCTGAACCCTCCGACTTCTACAATAGTTTTGTCCGACGCACGCGAAATCACTCGAATGTGACGGTTGCGCAGATGTACATCCAAGCCCATGCCTGAGCAGCGTGCAGAAAGCGAATCGTTGCTGCCTCGGAGGCAGTCCTGCCAGCGGATCAGCACAGTACAGCACGGCAGCACTATCAGAAGGCGATTCTCCAAAGCTGTGACCCAGAATGCCCAGGCTGTCCTTTGATCTTCTTCTATCTGCATCAGCTTGGGCAGCCTAAGGGGCGTTCTGTGAAACACTGAGCAACTGGCAAAGCTGCACCTAACAAATGACAAAGGCACTGTGGAAGCAACACCGAGGCGAAAGAGCGGATCACTGCATGCGCCTGGGCCTGGACGGGTGCGACACAGCTGTGAGCTACATCCGCCAAAGCTAGGCCGTAGGAGTCTGACAGCTCACGGTACTCCCTGATTCTCTTCTCAGCCCTTGTTTAGGTACCTTTTTGTCTCCTGGAATAGGTACCTGGCCGAGCCGACCGGCATCCGGGAGCGAACGGTGCGACGGGACCAGGCAGCATTGACCCCTCCCCAACCCACCAAGCAGCTGGCTTTCCCGGGGCACCCCCCCTAACCAACCGCTGTCTGGCAGCGGACGATGCGCCAGGACCAAGAAACCTTCTTGGGCCAGCCACAGGGCGTGGTCTCTAAATCTGCCCCTCAATCCCGCTTGTCTTGCCGGTTGTCGCGGCTCCCCTCTTTGTCTTTTCGCTCCCATGCTGCTCGTCCCGCCCGGCAACAGCGCCCTCCCGCTGCCCTGACTGGCCCTCTCCCAGATGCTGACTCCCCACCACTGCTCCATACTGCTCCTTCCTCCCCCATGCCCATGCCCCCCCATCCCACCCCACTTCCGCCAGGCGAACTGTGGACTGGCGCTAGCGGTTAGATTAAACTAGAACAAGTTGAGCTACTCGAAATGTAAGCTGCCTCCTTACATTGCTAAACGGATTGAACGGATTTATGCTTTCAATGGCTATGCTCAAGTATTCCATCCAGTTCGCCTTGCTGAGTGTTTGGTCACCTCGTCCTCTGGTCTCGCGAAGGCGCCTTTGCACCTCCACGAATCACGGCAGCTACCCCATACCAGCATGCAATCAGCTCAGTTCATGAAACCCTGCTGATGAAACCATGTCACTAAACATGCTCCTGTATACATGTTGACATGGGGTGCTAACGCACACAGGAACAGCAAACGCTCTACAAGAACATGCAAGACCGCTTGGACAGCTGGAAGCCACCAGCATCTTGCCTCCTCAATACGACCCCGCAGCTCATCACAGGCACCCAGCGCAGCCTGCCACTTCTTACAGTGTTCTTACAGTGTATACAGTGTGTACCCCAGCCATCTCCAGCCCCATGCCAAGTCCGAGGGACTTGAGAAACAAGCAGCAACGCCTCGACATCCAAAGCGGCAGAACTCACACGAAGTTTGGCCTTCAACTCCTGAGCTTCCACACAAAGGGATGGCATGGGAACCCACTCGCCAACAACATGACTCAACATGACTCAACGGTGCATGGCTCCAATCCAAGCAACCTGATGGAGCTGTGCTTCCTGTCATGTTACCGGTGATTCTCACCCAGGCTGATGCATGCAGGATCATGCAGGCAACTGGCGACTGCCAGCAGAAACCCATGTCCTCCTCAGCCTTGAGCTGCATGGATGCCGCACGGCCAAGATCACCTTGCAGCAGTGAACGTCCGACTTCACGTACCTGATCAGAAACGACACTCAAAGCTTAAAACCCGAAGCTAACTGGACACAAACTTAGTGGCTTCTTCGGTTCGGTGAGGCAAACAAGAATGTGGGAGACACACGCGATGGTGAATGCTAGGTTTCTGTCACCGACGTATTCTCGAACATTTGCCAGTCGGGACATGCGAGACAGCCCTTTCGGCTCTGTGGAGGTCGTGCTCAGGCTTTTGGAGGCCTGGAGGTCCGAACACAAAACGTCAATTATCCCCAGTAGTGTACTGCACTCAACTTTCCCATGCAACACTGCTGCATTTTCTCTTGCGGCAACAGGTATCAAGGTAGCCTCTAGCTGGGTTTTTCGTGCCAGGCAACAAAGCGAAGACTCTAACTTAGCAGTCAGAGAGAACCGCAACAGCAGAGCCTAGGCATAGACCCCAATCCGGGGCATAGACCCCTATCCTGTTCTGATAGGGGTCAATCCGTGACTTGCGCGTGGCAATTTTTTCCAACCCATCATGCGAGCATTGTGTTTGCAAATGCTTCCTACTTCGAACCCATCATGCGTGTGTTGTGCTTGCAAATGGGGAGTGGGGGGGGGCCCCCCGCTTGTTAAGCCGTGCAAGCTTGCTTCAGGCATATTTTTTCTAACCCATCATGGGAGCATTGTGTTTGCAAATGGGGGAGGGCTGCGCCCCAACCTCCCCGCTTTTTCTTGTTTCGAACCTGTGTCGCGTTTGCAAAAGGGGCCTCAAAACCAGAAATCCCGAAGGCCTAACCCTAAAAAAGCCTTAAACCCTAAACCCTAAACTCTAAACTTAGGATGTTCCCCCTTTTACTCTACTCCCTATGAAGGACTGTTAAGAGAAGTGGGAAACATCCCAACCCTAAACCCTAAAAAAAACCTAATCCTAAACCCTAAAACCCTTGAACCGTAGACCCCAAAAACCCCTAAACCCTAAACCCTAAAAACCCTAAAAACCCTAAAAACCCTAAAAACCCTAAAAACCCTAAAAACCCTAAAAACCCTAAACCCCCCTAAACCCTCAAAATCCCTAAGCTCTAAACCCAAAAAACCTTAAAGCCCCAAAATCCCTAAAAGAACCCTCAGCCTGAACCCGAACAAACGCCTAAACCCTAAAACCCCCTGAGCCAACAACCCCTAACAACCCCTGAGCCCTAAACCCAAAAAAAACCCTAAACCCTAAAACCCTTAAAGTCTAAATCCAAAAAACCCTAAACCCTAAAAACCCCCAAGCCCGAAATTACCCTAAACCATAAAAGCCATCACCAATACCACAACCACCACAACCACCAATATCCGCACCGCACCTTCGCCTCCCGTACCCCCTCCAACATGAGCGATTCCCCGTGAAACAATCCTTCGAAAACCTCCGAAATCTCTAGAATCGTTGAAGTACGACCCCACGCGCCCAAGTCTTGATAGAATCAAGTTTGGCTGAGTTCTAGACCCATTTCGACACTCGTCACATTTGCACCACGCCAAAAGCGCGCTTCCGCACGGCAAGCAAGAACATGTCCGGGGCTCGCCACACATTTACATAATCATCATGATCATGATATTCACCATGAATATGAAGATTTATACTAGGGTAAGATGAAGGTGCGCATATTAAAAAAAAGCATGCTGATGATGATGGTGATGATGGCGACGATGATGGTGATGATGGTGATGATGGTGATCATGGTGATGATGGTGATGACGGTGATGATGGTGATGACGGCGGTGACGGCGATGATGGTGATGACGGTGATGATGGTGATGATGATGATGGTGATGATGATGGTCATGACGGTGATGATGGTGATGATGGTGATGGTGATGATGGCGAAACAGGTCTGAAGATGTAGGTGGTGAGAACGTGCATGAATACAGATACTGAGCGCTGTGACGACTTGATGATGACGACGACTCCAGTGGCCTGAAGATAATGATGATGCTGATGCAGAAGACAAACTGCAGCATTAACCCAAAACAGGCAGATAATGGCGGCAATGGTGCTAAGCCACCAAGCCACCAAGCCACCCAAGAAACACCCCCTTCCCTTCAAACAAGAGCAAACCATAACCCCCCCCCCACCAACCCGAACACCCATCCCCGACAAAAAACTGATGTCTCGCTTTGAAAACACCAAAGACCAACAATCAACAGCCCACGGTTTTCCAAACCATGTCCTACTACACTGTTAAAGCAAATACAACTCGAGTCTAGCTTGCTAGCTTGCATGAGGAGGTCAGGCCCGCAGGTCGCCTCCGGCAGGAGTAGCTCTGCTCCACCAGTATCTTGCTGCCGTCGAGCATCAGCATCGTGAAGAGCTGACTTCACCTCAACAAAACATCAGGCTATTCTTTCCAAAAACTTCAAACCAAGAAGCAACGGTAAATAACATGGCACGGGTAACAGAATGCAACAAGTCACATCCGACAGCACACCAAGAGAGCTTAAGAGTCGTCTCCGATACTCTTGAACGGCAGCCTGCACTTCTGCCAATCTTCTTGCAAGCCCTTGGTGCCACGCTCTTGCCCCAGCCCCAGGACGAAGCGATACTGGCGATTGCGATGAAGCGCCAGGGACCGAAGAGCTCGACGTCTTCAATGTCTTCAATCTGCGCCTATCTTCTGTGGCCGATGGACTCAGTTGCTCCTCTCGCCATCGACTGTCGACGCTGAGCCTCAGTTCATCGAGTTGGCACCAAACTCAATAGAGGCCGTTTGCAAGCTACCATCTTTCGGAACAGCACGCATGTATGTTTTCATTTCATCGATTTTGGAATCCAGCCTTCGAACGGAAAAAAATGGTTCGAGCCTCGCCACCCCCAAACAAACTGCTGATGCAGGTGAAGTTTTCTCTCAGGCGGCATTCCAGGGATACTCCGCACAGGATTCTCTGCGGGATTCCTTCTTGGGGTGGACACTCCAAGGATCTGTGGCGAAATTCTCTGCGCATGTGGAACCCCAGGCGATGAACTTCTAAGGTAAACTTTTCTGCCGCACACCGCGGGCGGGGAACAAGTTTTAAAATCAACAGATTCGAAGTATTTGTAACAGTTCACAAAAGTCTCGAAGATGTGAATTAAGTTCACAACTATTCTACAAACCATTGCCTGGGTATTTCCCATGAAGCCCTCATGAAAACTATCGCACGAAGCATGGGATAGGTTCAGACAGCCCAAGCATGCGAAAACGAAACTTGGGAGGCGATTGAAAACGATGATGCGATTGAAAAAACACATTAACAGTACCATATACTTAGAATTTCTTTGTATCTATACTCTACCTTTACTGCACGGTCCGGAGATGCAATAAAACAATATTATCAAAACATTAACAACTTGCCTCCAACCACCCTGAAGACAGCTTTCCCCAAAAGCTCGCAACCAGGACAACGCCATCACGTGCACCATAAGTGCACCATAAACTCACCCATAAAAACCTTCAAACAATGCCCGGAAAACTGCCGGCCCGAACCCCAGACCCCCTGACTGACGCTCCGGACTGGAACCCAAACCTGAAACGTGACCCGGTTACCCCCCAGGCCCTTCGGAGACCAGCCTAGAGGCCCTGGAATGCTGCCCACAATGGGGATCTTTGAACATACCCCGAATCCATGTTTAAAAGCAGTATAACAAACAAGCATTTAACAAAAGTATCTACGTTCCAAGTTTTGGAAGGTTCGATGGCCAGACAGCATGATACTTCACATTAGGTGTTTTCTGCCAGTGGGGGGGGGGGTTGGGGGGAACATCGCGCACATGCCGGTATCTGCTAGTTCTTTGAGGGCGATGGCTAGGTATGTTTCTGGGTATGTTACCAACTCTGTCAAATCAGATGATGCTAGAGCATCATGCAGCATCCGCCCTCTGCGGGTTTTCAGGCCAAGGCTTGCTTAGGGTCTGGCTTGAGGGTTACTGTAGGGTTTAGGGTTCGGGACCCAAAGCCCGCAAGCCCTAAGCTCAAACCCTGAAGACCCTAATCCTTAAAAGCCTATAAGCCCTAAAACCCCAAGCCCTGAAACCCTGGGCCCTAAAACCCCAAAACAACAGAGCCCGAAACCCGAAGCCCCAAATCCACGCCAGTACTTAGATCAACCCTACACGCTGAAACCCAAACCCTAAAACCCTAGGCCCTAGAAAGCTAAGCCCTAACACCCTAGAACCCTAAGCCCAAACTCGAAAACCAACTCACAGCCACACCACAGAACCGGGGGGAGAGGGGATCCCACGCGACCCAAAACCCCAAAACCCTACACCAAGCCCCACCACCGAAAACCACACCACAGGGGGAGGAAGGGGGTAACTTGACCATGGGGGGCCGCGGAGCGCGTGACACAAATGATGGTGCGCGTTCTGGTGCGCGATGTGCGTTCTCGCCCGCTAAACCCTAAGCCCGAAACTCCCGAAACTCCCGAAACTCCCGAAACCCCCCGAATTCGCCGATTTTAAAAAACCCTGAAATCCCAAACCCTAAAAGTGCTAAAAGCCCTAAAACCGTGAAACCCTAAACCCTTATAACCCAAAGCCCTAAACCCTAGGACCCTAAACCCTAAAACCAAAAATGTAACACCCTGAAGCTCCAAAGCCCAAAAATCCTACAAGTACTACAACACTAAACCCTTATAACCCTAAACCCCAAACCCTAAAACCAACCCCCGCCTACACCACCAGGGGGTGGGGAGGCCAGCCCCCAGGGGCCGGAGCACAACCATAAACATTACTCTGCCGCGTACAAGAGCACAAGAGCTCCACCAGAGCTCCAAATGTATTGAGAAGAGCACTCCAGGCCAAAAGCCACGAGGTGAGAGTGCCATGCATGATTTGCAACGCTGGACATGCAATTCCCCTCAAACAGTACAGTGCTTGGTGTCCCGTCCGCGCACCTTCCGTATGTGAAATTGTGTTCTCGCTTCGGTCCCATGCACTCTGGCTTGCATCGCTTCGTCTGGCCCCTTGAGTTCGCTTCATGTGTCCATTCTGGCGAATATAGCTCGCGTGCACAAGTAACAGCAATACTGTACTGCACGTGCAAGGCATGCAAGGAAGGATGATGTGCGCGTGGGCTCCTTCAGCCACGGACTGCAAAGGAACGTGGCTGGACTTTTTTCGGTGCAGATCACTCACAGTACTGCAACGTCTAAGCACCAGACGCTGGATTGCCTTGCCATGCAGCGGCCTCGACTGCAGCTTGTGCAGCAGAGCGCGCATCGGCGGCCATGAGCGCACGGGCAGAGGCAACCACGTGCGCAGACTGACCTGCACAAAAGGCTTCAGCCATTCAGCGTGCAAAGCAACTTGGGGGCAATGCAACTCGAACTGCGCAGAAGGATTCACATTGGCTGCCCAAGAGGCGAGGTCTTGAAAAGTCCACGGTGTCATGGCTGACTGCGCCTGACGTGCAGTACTTGTATCTTGTCATGATGTACGGAGGAAGTTGTTGTGGTCCCGCTTGGGTTGTGGCAGGCACATATCGGGGGCCGGATAGGGTCACAACAACCATCATGATTGAAAACATACTGGACACACAAACTGCGGCACTGGGAAACGACCATGATGAGATCGGTAAGAAATGTCAGCTGAAAAAGTGTTGTGTTTAAGATCGCTCAGACGTGGCAGCACGACGACACACACTCAAACGTCCAGCCTGAACTGCTCAACACCGCGGATTCGATCTGATCCTCAAGGCATCATGAGTCCCCTCATGTCCCCTCCATGCCATGCAGTGGAGTGCCTTCTGCCCTCAAGTTGAACTCCAACTACGCGTCTACAAACGCCAGGTCCTCTGCCGTGCTTGGCCTCAGTGACATCCTCTCACCACCTTGCTCATCCATAGCTGTTGCTTCCTCACCCACATTCGGCTCCTCGCGAGTGTGAAGATCATGAGTCACAATCTGGCGCGAGGCAAACACACCTATTACCACATGTTCAATTCTGTCTGTCCTGGCTGTCGGCCCAAACGGTCACATGTCCGATGTTGCAAGAATAGCCATCAGACACCTTCTGTTCTGCCGCCACACTTGTCGACGAGCCACCCACATCAAGAGAAGCAACAAGGTTGGTCTCTTGATTTTCTGCCTCAGGCGTGGTGAGGATGGCAGCTTCAGCAGCCAAACCGTCAGCTCTGGGTATTGCTCCTTCACTTGCTGCTGCTGTTGCCTTTAAATCGGTCCCCTCCTCCTGCTGCTCCTCCATCATGGCGACACTTTCCAAATACCACTAGCCAAGTGCTAGCCGATCATGCGAATGACGTTCCAGCCGGTCCAGTCCAACGATACTGCGTAGCCAACACCGCTGTCTGGCCCATCGAGGAGCACACATGTGCTGCACTGTAAAACTCTGTGTCGCCATGCTTTCATGGGACTGTCGGCGACTTAGTGATTTCTGGCTGAAATAGGAGGTGAGCTTATGCACAATTGCTCAGTTCTGCGCCTAAGCACAAAGCCCATGAACAAAACACATGAAGAAGATCATGCTATTCCCAATCGTGGAGTGTGAACTGCTGGCAACAAGCACGAGTCCAAGATTTCCATAGGTCTGAACCAGAACAAAAAAACCGAACAGCACGCTTCCGCTCATTGTTGAAACCCGAATCGCGGCCTGAGATGTGCTAGCCTGGTCATGGTCATTGCAGTCGATCCCAAGAAGGAGGTGACAGAGCAACATGGGCATGCTCGCAGCAAAAAGCAGAATGAAATTCGCCTCGAGAGTTGGCGCCGAAGACACGGAATTCAGCATCAGGCACGTGAAGTGTCCTGCCGGAGTGAGTTTCCAGTCGTGGTTGATTTACGGATTTGCATTCCCCAACTTGGAAATAAAGCACGACACTAAGCTGGCACCCCGCTTTGCTGCAAGCGCATGGGCGAAGCCTTCTACCAGCTGGATATCATTCCGACCCACTGAGATAAGTGCCGGCACATGCCTTCCCCTCCGCACCCCTCCTGAGGAAAAGAGGCCCGAGCGTTTAAGCCGTAAAGTAACAGGAAAGCCCCAAGCCTCCAGGTGAAGTAGGAACTGGTAGGCGACAATTTATAGAATTTGGGCAGTGGCGGAGGTGATGCCTTCAGGCAGCGCGATATCACGCCACCCCAAAATGGAAAGGAGCCCCGACCCCTCAAAGCCTCGCCCACGCCAGGATCTCCGCGCAACTTGCACTTGCTTCGCGCATCACATGTGTTATCGTAAAAAGTACACGTGGTTTCCTCGACGTGTTTTGCAAAGGGTCAAGGCGAAAAAGGCTTCTGCACCAGTCTAAAGAAGTCCTCCAGCAAATCATCTGTCAGCCTGTCAGCCTGGACGGTCTTAAGCCAGATGCAATGGAGATTGGCAATGTCTCTACTTGGCACTGCCTCGCAGACGATCTTCTGGACTTGACTGCGTAACACAGCGAAGCCTGGGCTGAGAGTCTCTTTCGCGGTGGGCTAAGGCAAAAGGATGACCAGCCTCGCCCGTCGCACACGAAGGCGGAAAAGACCGCCTCTTCAGTACTCGCAGCACTTTCACTGCGCACTCAGTCCTTGCAGCGGAACATTTCGGAACTCTCGGCCTCTAAGGATGAGTCAAGGCCACTGTGCTCTTCAAGGATATCGCGACTGGCATTGAATAGTCCTTCTCAAGTCCCAAGCACTGGTCATCGCAAGAGCACAGAAATTGCCGTCCCTCGCCTGCCGGGGCTGTTGTGCATGCAGGCGTGCAGCAGCCTGAACAAGATACATTTCTTGCATCCACACATGTTACAGGAGAGTTATGGAGAGTTGGCATCTCAAGATCGACTTCCTCGCTCTGTGCAGTCATGTGCGCAGTAGACTCAGTAGACCCTGAGGAATGATTTTGTGCAAGTCAAAGCTGGCTCGCACTCGCACAGACAATACCAACTTTATGATGCAAGCCAGCTTTGTGGCTGCTGTCTACGGTGGATATTCTGCATCACTGGAGCTGCCTGGCGACAGGGCGCTCCGAACGCAAAGCAAGACACACTACAAGACCGCTAATGATCCGCTAATGCGGCAGGGGCACCTTCATTCCCCAAGCCACCGGGCAAGACCTCTTAGGCATTTCGTAGGAGGCCAAACAAACTGTACTTGAGCTGAGAAACGTGTTCGAAAACTGTCTCCGTGCTTTGTGTCTACCCACAAAAAGTTCATGGCAACTGACAGTCTGCTCCTACCTCCCACTCGAACTCGAAGCGTTCGTACCATGTTTCCTGGGTCATGTGCCACAGAGCAATTCATGACCATTCCTACTTTAATTTGCAACACTGCGCTGCTGCACACATGGCCTCCTCGTCCTGGATGACCTCTTGCAGTGCCTTGCACATGAATTCACATGGAGCACATCCAGGAGGCATCCCTTGCAAGGCTTACCGTTGCAGTGTCGCTACGTCATCGAAAGCGGCCTCCCGACACAACTGGAACTCGTCTTGCACTCGAACCGTATCAAGAGAATTAGGCCTCCCCATGGCAGCAGATAGCATTGTTTTCAGAAATGGCTTGTTAAGCTCGCAGACGGGCAACTCTTCGATTGCTGGAAAATCCTGGTTGTGCCACAATCCAGCATGCTAAGTTTAGGCAGTCTTCCTGGGTTGTATGCGTAGGAACATGCACGGTCGGTAGATTCTCCGGACCTGTTCAGGAGCCTTGTATGCTAAAACTGCAACTACGGCTGACTGCTTGCGCACTGGCAGAAACTGCATGTTCAATGCGGCGAGCCTGAACGGATTCTCCATGGCAATAGCCTTTAGCACTCTCACCGTTTGCAGACTCAAAGGACTCAGATAGACTCAGACTCGCCAAAAAAAGAGCATCAACACTGCCACCGAGCTGCCACGTTGAGAAGGGCGACAAGAGTGGTGGAGAGCAAGCCTGGCTTTGCCGACGGAGCATATGGATGAGCGCGTCAGCAACTGCAATCGCGGGTGTCATGATATGGTTTATGAAAACATGCCGGCTCGACAGGAAAACAGGCAAGCGAAAATCAAGCGGTGCTGCGAATATTCCCCAGTCTTTGGATCTGAGCTCAGTTCAATCTGAGAAGGTCAGCATAGGCCAGAACATTTACACCCAACACTGAGACTTGCACCCAGGACAAGATGAAGGTAATATGGCCTCGTGGCCGCATTAATGCCATGAGGCTGTGACTGTCGAGCTTCATTGCCGCTCAGCAGCCCGAAGAAGAATGGATACAATTGGATGTTCACCTCAGCGCCCAATTGCGCAAGCCAGCGAAATGAAGATATGGTTCTGAGGCCAGAGCACGGCTCACTGATCTAAGGGTCGCCGGAGAGCGATAAGTTTTGAAGCCTTACTGCAGATTGGTGAACTTCACTGCGGTATGCTCCAAGTTCATATGAGACCAGGGATCGATGCCTTTGGCTCTTGTGCTGAGAAATTGTTGGAGAATTTATTCAGGCGTCCCCGTCCTGGCATCCCCTGCCTCCAAGGCCCTAGATCTAGGCCATTTCTGTGCCCAGTGGAAATTTCAAGGGGGGGGGGGGCGGCTCCAGGGGCGTGTAGGGGATGGGCGCATTGAAAGGAACCTCGGCATCCCCAACCCTCCGGCGATTGGGTTCTCCAGGTGACACCGGGGATTTCTGCATTGGCACTTATAGGAAGGCGAGTGGAACAGGAGCAGGAAAGCAAGAGGTCAACTACTAGCTTGCTTGCGGTGGAGGTGGTAGTAGGAGGGGCCGGAGCAGCAGAGCAGTAGAGAGCAGTAGGGAGCAGTAGGGAGTGGTAGGGAGTGGTAGGGAGTGGTAGGGAATAGTGGGAGTAGTGGGAGTAGTGGGAGTACTCCCGGGACTAGCCACGGGACATCGGGGGAGGGCGTAGGTGGTGTGCCCGGGGCGCAAGTAGTAGGAACTTTCTGGATTGGTAGAGATTTGATATTACCTGAACCGGGTTTGAAGCAGAGGCACAGCGACCCTCCTCCGATCCGGTTTGCAGACATGCTTCTCCACAGCATCCCGCAACATTCACGAACTGTTTTTCGCCTTTCTGCAATTTCTTCACACTCCATGATCAATGATTCCGACTGCCATTCTTCTAAGGTTTGGGTTTGTGCAGCCAACGCGCCAACCCCCTTTTCGTTTTCAAGATGGAGACATTCCGAATCGTACTCCGGTTTCAGGACTTTTAATCCCAGCTTTGCAAATCCTCAGAACGACCCAGAAGACGCTTTTGAGTTTAAAGAAGGTCCCCATAGGACCATTCCCCCAAATATTGACTGGTTAAACGGTGTGGCGAAGACTTGAGGCGAGGAGTTGGCATTTGAAGGTTGAAAAGTGCCTGCGTTTGACGCTGGGGCCCCAGCTCCAGAGCCTCTCAAAGTCCCGACAAAGAAACATGTTGTACTGATTGATGCGGCTTGCCTGCGGAGTGTGCAACATCGACCGTCGACAACCACATGCTTGGATCGCGGAAAGTGCGTGGCTTATTGAAAAGAAGCACCACCGGCATGACACAAAAAGCATCCAAAAGCATCCTTGCAAAGGCAGGGCCTCGTTTGCCGGCATGCCTGCAGCCTTCAGTTCCTGTCCAGGGAATGCGGTTCTGGATGTGGATGCGGGTGTGGGTGTGCAAGTCCGGACGTAGCCAAGACACTTGTTGGAAGCCTGTGATACGGAAGTTGATCACTCCCACGTACAAGCAATGACTTGAGATTTGGGCTACGGAAGCTAGACACACGCCGGAGCAGCACGCAGCAAGCGCAAACCAGGCCAGTTTTCGAGGGAGCAGGGAAAGGGGGGGGACCAGCGTCAAGCCGTCCAAGTTGTCTAACTCCGCTGAACCAAAACAGACAAACATGGCTGACCCTGTCAACCCTTGAGCTGCTGGACCCAAAGCCACAAACCCCTAATAACATCTAATAACCTACATGGGAGAGGGGGCTTCTTTTTGGGACCATTAAGTGATTGATGTTTTGATTTTCGTACCGTTTAAGGCACGAGATCGATTGTTGAATTGAACACTGGAGAGAGAAAGGTTGTAAACAACAACAACAATCGCAAGCTTCAAGGAGCTTGCTTTGGTGATGATGAGCGTCTTCGGCATCTACAATCTTTGCCGCGCATTGACTTCTGCTTCACTTGCAAGGTGATGGGCTTAGAATACTCCTAATGGTTCGAGACCCATCCTTCGGCAGGCTGGGACCCAAGGCGAAGTGGCTTTCTGTCCATGAACGATTTGTCGGCCCACATGTATACTGATGAGTTGGCTAGTCCAAGCTCAAACATGCAGCATGCAGCCTGTGGCTGATATCTGTTGACGCGATTTCTACGTCTTTGCATGTCACGCTCCGTTTTCCCGTCGGCCTCCGGGTCTTAACAGACCTTGAGACTCCAGGCGGGTGGGTTTGTTTGTCGTGACTACCCGCCAAGGAGGCTGCTTGTTGTGCTTGCTCTTTCTGCTATGCCTTTCCCTTTCCAGGTTGTACTTTCATTCCCCACCCTAGGTGTGGGGTTGTAGCTCCTCGCCCGCATCTCGTGGCCCACCGCGTATCCCACCGAGAATCCTGCAAGTGCACCCCAATCTTCTCCGGGACGTGCCCACCCCCACAGAACCCTGCAGAGCATCCCAGGAGTATCCCTGGAACATCCATGGCGAATCTAGAAGCAGATAGATCAGCTCGCTTCGGATCAGGCCAGGCTTCGCATTGGCCCGCCCAATTCAAGTCAAGCAGCTTTGGGCGTCAGATCCCAGGTTGGGGAAGCAGGTCTGTGGAACGGACCAGTGTCCAAACCTTTAAAACCCCAAACCCTCGACACTAAACCCTAAACCCCAAATCCTGGAGAGACTTGTCTGGTAAGTCTGCAAACTGTTTCCGATCCAGTCGAAATAAGAATGATATTAATACTACTGCAGCACCAATCATGAGTTCGTATATGTGCTGCGTTCTCTCGTTCAGTGCGTTCATTTGTTCGTAATCTCACTTCATTCTCTTATTCACTCCCTTTAACACTATCATTGTTAGGAATTATATGGGCCCCTATTTTACTTCTTTTACTGGGCCTTTAGTGATTACAAAATAAAGTGAATACTATTCTGACCGCACAGAAAAAGAAATGAATTTAGTGCGGCATTATTACTATTTCACGGCGGGGGGCAACAATGAGAATACAATGAGCCCCGCATCATAAGCATATAATTACTGTACTTCGCGGTTACTTTGTGCCCGGCGAGTGAAATTAATGAATTAAACACCATGACCCGATTCGAACTGTTTCCGATCCAGTCGGGGCCTTTACCACACCACCCACCCCTGCCACCACCCCACACCCCACACCCCCCCTCCCTTACTCCTCTCTATCCTTGTCTGGGCCCTGGCCCGGGCGGGTCGCGTACCGATAAAATTATGACCGTAGATGCCTTCAGCAACCATGCTTCACATAATGAACCGAGAAAGCGGAAATGACAAGCTTAGATGCCCTCAACACTCTTGCTTCTGACACGTTACACATCAGATGACCTGAAACATCAGATGACCTGAGATGCCTTCAACACCCATTTTTCCAAGGAGGAACAAAGAGTCTGTGGGTGTTGAATTGACATCATCGAAAGTCAAACTCTACCTTTTCCGAGATGTTTAGATTGAAAGCATCTGAAGCAATTTTGCTCTTTTCTGGGGAACTCTATGAGAAGCATGGGTTTTGAAAGCACCCAATGTCATCATATGCTATTGTTATTAGTCCTTGTTTTGGGGTGGCTTGCACGGTCACAGAGCATACATGTCACACAAAATTGACAAAGCCAAACCTTTTGGTCAGTCTTGGCTGCTGCTGCCACCGTCTCAAGCCAGGCGAGTGGGGGAAGGGGGGGGAGGGCGGGGGTCGCGAGGTTTCCGAATTGATTCTCGGGGTTTCCCGCATTGATCCAAAGTTGTCTCTGTCTGTCGTTCTCACCGTCTGCATGTCTGTCACTCGTCAGTCCACACCTCCGTGGCTTTATGCAGGCGGGCGAGGAGCCTCAGCCTGAGCACAACGGGATAGGGGACACTGCAGAGGAACTTCTGCTTTTCGTTTCGTTTCTTGGAAGCCGAGGCCCAAGCACAGTCGACCGGCCCTTCAGTTCTGCTTCCTCCACATTGGAATGCGGGAGAGGTCTCAAGACGTCCAACAGCTCTTGTGATGGGCTCTTCGCCATGCTTGGCCCAGGCGACGGACTAGCTTTCGAGCGTGGGGATGGCAGATGGCTGAAGTCTAAAGATGTCTAAAGTTCACACCTTAGTCATCCTGTTTGCCTTCCCCTTGCCTGCACAGGCTACAGTAAGCCATTGAACTCGAAAGCCTTGGCTGCGACTCTGCTTTCTTAGAGTCTCGTGATTACTTTCCTCCTAGGTGTCTGGGAAGCCCCGTTCTTGGGTGGCCCCGTCATGTCCAAGATATCACAGAACCTCCTACATGGCCTGGACTGCGTACACTTCTTAACATGTGAATGCCGAGGTTCTCGCATCTCGACAAATAAGGCTCTACAACAAGCCTTCGCAGTTGCACATCATGCCAGCCCCCCTCCTCAGGCCTCCACCAACTCCTTTTCGGCAGACACCCACGTGCAGAACTCTTGACCTATCAAAATCTCAACATGCACCTTGGCAGAAGTTCAGCTTCTAGGCCGGAAACGCAAACAAGAAACACCGAGCTTGATGCGGCTTCGCCCACGGCGAGGTACCAGAAAGAGTTCCTCCAGGATACCAACTACCAGCACAAGCAGTAACTAAGCAGTACAAGCAGTGTAAGTAGCACAAATAGTGCAAGTAGTCGTCGTCGTCGTAGTCGTTGTCGTCGTTGTCGTCGTCGTGTAGTAGTAGTAGTAGTAGTAGTAATAGTAGTAGTAGTAGTAGTAGTAGTAGTAGTAGTAGTAGTAGTAGTAGTAGTAGTAGTAGGAGTAGGAGTAGTAGTAGTAGTAGTCGTCGTAGTAGTAGTAGTAGCAGTAGCAGCAGTGGCAGTGGCAGTGGCAGCGGCAGTGGCAGTGGCAGCGGCAGTGGCAGTAGCAGCAGTGCTAGCAGTAGTAGCAGTAGTAGCAATAGTAGCGGTAGCAGCAGTAGCAGCAGTAGCAGCAGTAGCAGCAGTAGTAGCAGTAGTAGCAGTAGTAGCAGTAGTAGCAGTAGCAGTAGCAGCAGCAGCAGCAGCAGCAGTAGCAGTAGTAGTAGCAGTAGCAGTAGCAGTAGCAGTAGCAGTAGCAGTAGCAGTAGTAGTAGTAGTAGTAGTAGTAGTAGTAGTAGTAGTAGTAGTAGTAGTAGTAGTAGTAGTAGTAGTAGTAGTAGTAGTAGTAGTAGTAGTAGTAGTAGTAGTAGTAGTAGTAGTCATAGTAGTAGTAGTAGTAGTAGTAGTAGTAGTAGTAGTAGTAGTAGTAGTAGTGTTGTGTTGTTGTTGTTGGTAGTAGTTGTTGTAGTATTATAGTAGTAGTATAGTAGTAGTAGTAGTAGTAGTAGTAGTAGTAGTAGTAGTAGTAGTAGTAGTAGTAGTAGTAGTAGTAGTAGTAGTAGTAGTAGTAGTAGTAGTAGTAGTAGTAGTAGTAGTAGTAGTAGTAGTAGTAGTAGTAGTAGTAGTAGTAGTAGTAGTAGTAGTAGTAGTAGTAGTAGTAGTAGTAGTAGTAGTAGTAGTAGTAGTAGTAGTAGTAGTAGTAGTAGTAGTAGAGTAGTAGTAGTAGTAGTAGTAGTAGTAGTAGTAGTAGTAGTAGTAGTAGTAGTAGTAGTAGTAGTAGTAGTAGTAGTAGTAGTAGTAGTAGTAGTAGTAGTAGTAGTAGTAGTAGTAGTAGTAGTAGTAGTAGTAGTAATAGTAGTAGTAGTAGTAGTAGTAGTAGTAGTAGCAGTAGCAGCAGTAGTAGTAGTAGTAGTAGTCGTCGTCGTCGTCGTCGTCGTATAGCGGCAAAGGTAGTAGCAGTGGCAGTGGTAGTCTGCTGGTTCCACTTATGTAGGGGTCGATGAATTGAGGAATCGAGGAATGCTCGACCACTTGCAGCTTGCATCTCAGGCTCACACTTGCATGGCATCGATGATTCTCATGAGGAGATCCAAGACCTCACCAGTGGACTAGGCCAACTGCAAGATGCACATTTCTCGAGCCTCTACGCAGGCCCGTGACAGTCCCTAAGTTGTGTAACCGCAAGTTCTGCTACAGCACATACATGCCGCTAGATCAGCAGAGGCCAAATGCGAATGCTGCTGCTATTCCATGAAAGAGCATCCACGTTCATGCAAGTTCTCCAATGACGTGACCAGCCCAGTAGTAGCATCTCTGCACCCGCCAACGGACTAGACTTGGGTCAGGGCCCTCTGAGCGTGTTGGGGAGGAAGCGGCGTGTCTTTGTAGACCCTTCCAGAGATCACATGGCACCAAGCCCACACAAGAACCTCCTTGAAGGGCAAGCCGGGTGTATGGCCCTTTCTTCTTTCCATGACCACCCTGCTCTTTAGACCTTACTCACGAACCTCTGCTGACATGGTTCTGAAGACGGGTACATGCGTGAGAAACGCCCTCTGAGGTCGGGTCACGTTGTCTTCAGCTCGGCCATACCAAGAGTCAGCCTTGAGGTGGACAAGGTGGACACCAACTCGCGAGCTTTGGACCCACACCAAGAAATTCCACAAAACTGGCTGCACTCAAGCCGTCTGATGTAAGGTCTGGTCGCCGGGCCAGTCCCATAGCTGGTTGGCCAAGAAAACATTCAACCTCCGGCAGTCTCTTGATACCCTGAGGAATGCAGCTAGCAACAACCGTCAAAATCAGACGGTCTAAGTTCTGAGCAATGTCGCTCGGAAGTCACTGATGGCCATCAGCGCTTGCTGGACAACAGATCGCATGTCACAGAAACAGCTGATGCACAAGGAAAACCGAGAATATGTTGCCCACATGTTGCCCGCCTCTCTTCGTTTGAAAGCTTCCCTTCGCAGACCCAGGGCATGGCACACAAAGCAAAATACAAGTGCAAAGCCTGGCTCAAACATCAAACGACGCGACTTGGCTTTACAGGTCTGGATGAGCACGACTCACTTTTATGCATCGCACTGCCGAAAAGAGATGTTTACTTCCCACTCTGTGCCTGATGGCTGTTTGCAGTGGAAAGACCAGAGCGAAACCGACGGCAGTCCACCTCAAAGATGATGCTGTACCAGATGAATCGATCCGAATGTTCCACCAAGAATGCTGAGACAGCACAGGAGCTCACGTCAGGTTCATGTGCAGATCCGGGAGGAACTCCTTGTAGAATAGTACGCTGATCACAGCCTTGGCAGCTCTTAGCACTCGTTCGTTGAAACACGGCGTGAATAAGCCTTCTTTGGCGCATCGGTCCGCGTTGATTGCCGTGCTGGGTGCAAGGCAGTTATGTTCACGATAACCGTATCTGGGGAGGTCATGAGATGAAGCACCACAGCCGCACTTGCACCTCGGACATGCTCTCAGAATTGGAGTGAAGCCTTGAACCTTGAAGATTCCAATGGTCAATGCCCACTCTCAACACAACGGACACAACGTTTGCGTGCAAGCGGCACTGGTCGAGAAGCATCGCAAGCCATTGCCTGACCAGGAGACCAATCACTCGGAAATTTCAACATGCCTCCGGGCACTTCGATCACGCCTTGGAACCCAGACAGAGGACGCCAGCAGCCCACGGCTTGCAAACCGCTTGAAGCAGAGGGTTCCTGCATTACAGCAAGTCATCTTTCTGGTGCCCGGTGCAAATCTGCATTCAGGATGGGCGCCAAAATCATACAAAAAATCACATGCGATTACATTGCCGTGTTTTTGGGGTGGGAGCGGGGGGGAGGGGGGGGGGGGAATCTGCGATGGACGACTGTGACAGAGCGAGACGCACATCAAGAAGATCGCATCGTGGGCCCCCAAAAACATCTGATAACCCTCAACTTAAAACCAAAACCCTAAACACCAAGCATCGCAACCTCTAGGAGCTAAGGTGTTGGCTGATTGGCATCGCTTGACTGACTCGCGTGAATCAAACAATCTGTGATTTGGAGCGACTTTGTTGGCATGACTGCCGGCCGAATAGTGACGTTGGAAAATGTTGACTAATTATGACTGCTTATTGTTGGTCTGGTTCTCGCGACTCAACAACTGATGATGTTCGCCGTGGTCGACACGAACACTGAAATTTCGGTGAACGACTCTGAGCTCGGGGGGGGGGGGTTCCCCTTCTGCCACTTGACTCGAAAGACACACAAAGCTGTAGCCACCGAGCCAACAGCACCACAGAAGCATCTGAACAAGCCAGCATCATAAGCACAGCATTGAATGAAAGCATGTTCTGGATGGAGGGCCGACCTGCTTGCATGAAGTCACGTCAGCCGGCAACAGGATCATGTTTATGATTGTTGTGCCACGGGTTGTTCGCACTGCCAGTCTTAAGAACTTCAGAACTTCAAACCCGCTGCAGCTGAAGGGTACGGGGTTGATCAGGCGAGTCGACATGTCCTGGTTCCCGCGGCATGAATCCACGAAGCTGTTGCCTGCCGTGGCATTCGCTGTACTTCACAAACAACCTCCAGTGGACAGGTCACCCGCCTCAACTGGCTAGGGTCGGGTTGTTCGTGCATCAACAGTCATGCCTTTGCAGGTCCAGGTGGTGGCAAGATCGGCGATCCACTGCAGAACCGGAACAGAGTCCAAATAGTCCAATATATCTGAGACAGCGGCGAGTTCGGCCAGAAGCATACATCGCCGTATGCTGGCTAAAACCCCGAGAGTCAAAGTGTTCTTGCTGTCAGCTTGTACTTGCACATTTTGCAAAGTGCTGCGCGCAGCTGTTAGTACCTTTTTTGTATGCACATGAAGATGCATGATTCTGAAGCCTCGGCTATCAATCGAGAAGTTCAGTGCAAGCACCAACGGGTCTGGCAGACCAGTGAAACCCGGGCCTGGGACCCAGCCCCGCATCAGCTAGAGGTGAGCGCCGCCTTGGCACCCATCATTTGAAAGGCAACAACCTGCGTCGCCGTCGTTTGCATGCAGGCTTGCCTAGTCAAGAACCCTTCCGCATGTTTGTGCGCTTGTGTACTCCAACATAGCTTGGTTGGGTATGGGCACCTTGAAGGTTGAACTGACCCTTAGTCTGTCTTGGACCCCAGGCATGCCCTGAAGCTTCAACTTCTGGTACACATGAGTGCCAAAAACGTACAAGCATGTACAGCCCAGCTGGGTTCAAGAGCATCTGGGCCATGCGGCCATGTCCCACTCTTTTTCATGTTGGTCAAACCAGGGATCTTTGAATCTTTAACAGCAAAAGGCAAGCCATGGAAAGCCTAACTTGCTGCCATGGAGCTTGCTTCAGAATTCAAGTTGGCAGCATCAAGAACAGCCCCATCGGAGTGACCACTGTCCGACGGCTCCGACCACATTTATCACATGGCAGCCAACGATGGGAACGATGGGAACGATGGGAACGATGGGAACGATGAGACAAAAGTGGCGGGTTTTTGTGGTCACCACCGCGAAGGTCACGGAGTAGCGCTACTCGAGCGACCAGGCCCATCGGCCCTCTTGGCAGCCCTGGATAGCCGAATGATATCCAAGAACGTCCAGGCTCAGCTCGAAGTTTTGGGCCCAAGCAAGCAGTGTGAGGCGCTATGACCATGAGGAGCCCACAGCGCAGGCACCTCTGGCATTGGGCACTGTTGGGTGTGCAGGAAGCTGGAGTGAAGCTGGATTACAAGCGGAAGGCATGACAGCACCATGCTGCTTGGAGGACTTCTTCCTACAGTACACTCCCTTTACATCGCACGAGCACTCGCCTGTGTTCTCCGACAGAGTCCACTGTCGAAACGTCTCCGCAATGTAGTTTACATCAGGAGAGTGCATCTTGCACATCTCATCACATCTCGAACACTGAAGCCTGCAGCCCTGCGACAGGCGATGCCTGTCAAAGTCGAGGACTTTCCTATTTTCAGACGGCAGGCAGCGCCTGATCTGCATGGAGCTGCTTCATGAAATCATCGATACGCCCTTGGCTCTGGGTGACAATCGCATGCCTCCTTACGAGGGAAGGCTGCAGAACGTGTACGAGACACACTTGAACTGCGAAGAGAACTCTGAGAGCCACGCTGCATGCTTCGGTGGTCAAGATCACCTCACCTAAACAATTCAGTCAAAGAGAGAGGTCTCTGCATACCCAATCAGCGGCACCCTTTATCACCCTTTTCGTGAAACGACTCGGCAACTGGATGGGCACCAATTCCAACAGGAGGCTGTCACTTCCCATAGTGAAGGATGTAATTCTCGAGTCTCCATTGAACAGTCTGGGCGCACGATTCTGCCCCGTGATTATCACCAGTGTAGGTAAGTCCTGCCTGGCTGAAAGCCCAGCCATGTACAATGCATCCGTACCACCACAGAAAACCGCGGCATCTACCTCCCAAAGGGAAGCGGCGACCGCTGCAAAGAGCTGTCCATCTGTGAAACTTCCTGCAGAAAGCTCGGAGGAAAGCTCGAAACTTGCTTTCAGGATGTCGTTCTGGGCCAAGTAGTCTCGGAGTGTGCCCGGACCTCCGAGTACAAGAAGCCGTGGTCGCGGAGGCTGGCAAACTGATCTGTGTGATCTGCAGCGTGCATCCTGTCGCCTACCTTTGGGAACTGACAGGAACGCTTCCAGCATCTGCGGACCGTCTTTCTTCAGCAGCGGCTTCGCTTCCGATACATGGAACCACCTGCGACGTCTCAGGCTGCTCTCGTATGCGGAATGCGGATCATGCCAAGCTTCATTGCTTTCATCCTCCATATGCTGCACATGCATCAAAAACATGTACGTGCGGTTCTTCTCTGTGTCAAAAGTTCCCAAAAAGCAGCCCAAACTTCCACTTGCTCCACACTCCTCCTGAGTCTCGCGGGCAGCACAAGTTGATACCTCCTCACCCGGATCAAGAGAACCTGCCGGAAAAGTCCACTTTCCTGGGGTGTTTACGCCTTCTATTAGCAAAACCTGAAGACAGTCTGTTCCATCAGTTTCGGAAATCCCACATCGCCATGGAACTGTTCCGGCGCGAAGCTTCCGGCCATCAATCTTCACCACTGAAGATTCCAGCCTTGCTTTCTTCGTCAGCCCACGACCATCCGACTCGGCTTCAGATGCACCCAGCATCTTGTGTCTTATAGGGAAAGCTGCCCATCCAAAGCGGATTCATGCGTCGATCGAGCAACAAGCACATAGACATGTAATGAGTGGATCAGTGGTGACGTCCGTGCGTGGCTTGCGATGTTGTCTGTGTGCGATTATTTTGGGGTTAAGCCTGAAGCTGCAGCAACGGCTTCTTGATGTAGAGGCATGCATGAAGGTTCGAAGGCCTTCACCATTAAAACCGACATTTTCCGAATCAGCAGGACGCCTCGCAGCGGACACAGCAAGTGGCTCTCTCACTCTCCCACCAGCAGGACCCTTGTAGAGCCCTCAGAAGGTGCAAGCCAAGTGCACTCACTTCTCTTTGCAGTCGACAACGCACTGACGACTGTTAAGGAAAAAACTCGTTCTGATAGCCCCGCGCAGTCGTTTTTGTTGCGCAGGCCCAGGCGCTTTGTTTCTTGCTGTGCAGGCATTGTAGCTGTGCAGGCTGGGGCATCTTCGGGGGGGCAAGGAGCGAGTTCCTGAAATGATCGAAGCGCAGTCTGCACATGAGGCCACCAGCACACCTTACGATCTCTCGCTGTAACTTGTACGTTCACCATCCAAGGGAAGTGAACATGTTCCGACTGTGACAAGTGGGTGGGGGGTGGTGGGGGGAGGCACAGACAAAAGCAAACCTGTTGACTGCCTCAACGCCTCACCGCAGCAGCTTGCACCAAGAACATGGGAAGGAAATACACGGCTTTAGCATCAACAGCCACAGCAAGGACCTTGCAGGTGCCTTTGACACATATGACATATCGACATATCAGCCCTGCCTTTTTCACCTCGCCTCATCTCTTGAGGAAGATCGCGCCAAATTTGCTTTCCACTTACGTTTCCTGTGAAACACAGGTTGGGTGCCAGACAGGAAATCACGATGAACTCTGCATGTGCTGTCCTAGCATGTTCGAAACAAGAACCGAGACAAATGCTGTCGAATGAGTGAAACATTATACAAGATTCACTGGCCACCTCAGTCGCAGGTCTGTGCTCTCACACCGCTTGTCAAACTGCAAAAACAGCTGATGCCTGAGGAGTTAGCCGAGTTGTGCCCAAGACGTGAAGACAGGCCTGAGTCAGTTTTTTTGACACCATGATGAGATATGCTAAGGCTGCTAAGGGTTCCCTCATGCCCAAGGTCTAAGAGCAGCACATCGTCAACTCCACACACCGGCCAGCTAGACTGTTCCTGCCACGAAATAATCTGGGGAACATAAGCCGCCGGAGAAGTACTGCAGAATGATGTGGAGAACGCGATGGATTCTGCCGTTGCAAGTTGACAACCCTGGACACCAGGGAGTGTTTCACGTTGCGTGGGCTGAGTTGGCTGTATGAGAAGGAAACCAGATTCGTGCCCGGAACCCAATGAGCCCACAGGTCTTGTTTATCAAAACCGACGTTGACAGCACGAGCAGTACTGACGCAAAAGCCAGTGAACCCAAACCATCTAAAGCACATTGGTTCGCTTGGCAGCGGGTTAGTGGGTGCATCGAGGCATGGCAGGAACTTCCTGGTTTGCAATCTAGCGCCTGCTTTCAAGATAGTCTTACAGTTTGCAGTCAAAACTTTTTTGTTAGATGGCACTAAAAGATCTAATAGTTGAAGGCGGCACTGCTGAGTGCACCGCAGATTGCACTGCACATGTTTTGGTCCTCGTTCCGTCGTCAGCTATCACCAGGTCGTGGATTGTGCTGGAAGCCAAGACCTTGTCCAGGCATGCCCAGGCAGCGTCACGGTGCGTGATTGGAATGATCAGAGCATATCAGCGAGAAACTGCCTGCATCCGAGCACACTGCAGCATTAACACTGGCCGACGAGTGGACCATCTGAAGGCCGATGGTCCAACCAGACCCGTCCGGCCTTGTGACCCAACGCAATTCGCCCCATCTTGAGCTGATGGTCAAGTTCGCACTGAGACACAGACAGCCTCGCTGGATCGGCACGAACTATCCTTCTAGACCTTCAAAAACACGCGAAAAAACTCTGCTCCATCCAATATTCTCAAATGAATCAAACGGACTGCCCCCCATGCTTCGTCTTAGGACGGCACCCGACGACGCATGTAGCGATGTCATCATCCCACTCGTGGCCTTATGAGAAGCAAGTATTTGAAGCTATCAAACGCTATCAACTGAACTGGCGCTTACTACATGTTATGGCTCCTTTTAAGGTCCAAGCAGAGCTTTGGCGGAAGCAGGACGAATGTGCAGGCTCGGTTCGCATGGAGCCATGGCCTGCAAGAAAATCAGCCGAGCAGATATAAAACACTGGGTCGTTTGTTTCAATCTGCTTCTGACCTTTGATTCCTCGATGCCGGACAAGCACCCAAGTATTGAACATCCCAGTCCAGATAGGTGCTATCCGCTTTCGAGTTGGGTCGCACATAACGAGTGCCAAAAACGAAAGAGCGCACCAAACGGCAGAATCGCTCACCACATGGCCGAAACGCGCATCCAAGAGGCAGCGAGCGCACCGAAGAGCCCTGCATGAAAGCCTCACAAGGGTGGCACCAGCACGGTGAGCGAGAACACGAGGCAACGACATCCAAGGTCGCGCACGCCGTGGGGACGCAAACTAGCAAGCCAGCTGGCCGGTATCGGCTGGCCGAAACAAGCGCACTTGGGCAGTACCGGCAGCAGCTACGTCCATGACGCACCGGAGAGCGAGCCATTGCCCCGAAGCGCGGCGATGGGCCCCAAGAGGTCGAGTGCCCCGAAAAAATTTGGAAGCCATGATGCTGGCTTGTGACCAGCATGTCGGAGTAAACTGCTCCATAATGTAGTCAGCACTACTTGTATGTTGAGAACTAAGTCGAATAGCTTTTTCCCAGTTTGCAAAACTGTGCATCCAGACCCTCACTCTGGTCTGAAGATGGTGGACATAGAGTGGCGACCCCGAAACTTGGCAGAAGCTGTCACTCTTCCGCCAGGCGATCTGTGCGGTGCTTCCCGTATTACCCGGGACCAGCTGACCCGAAATCGCAATTGAACGGAGTGATATATGTGTCTAGAGTGGCGAACCATGAGCTTGTGAAAACCACAACAAAGTGTACAAGCCTACGCACGCCAAACCATACACGAAACCCTACACCAAAATCCTATACCCTCAAAGTTCTAAAGATCTTAAAAGCATTTAAAAGCCCTGAACAACAACCACCGTGCCCACCAACCACCCCAAACCCAAACCCTGAGCACCCCACAAACCCTTAGCGCCGACAAAGCCTAAACACCCCTCAAGCTTGAAACCCTGACCTGGAGGCCTAAACGCTAGAACCATACAGCTTTAAAATTAGGAACCCTTAAAACCCCAGGGACACCAATGCCAAATCTCTAAACCCAGCAAATTCTGATTCTAAACCACAGACTCAAAATGCAAAACGCAAAACCCTAAACCCTAAAAACCTTAACCTTCAAGCACCAAACCCTTTCAACAAAAATGGAACTAAAGCCCGCAAACCATGTGCCCGAAAAAAATGGATCCGAAGATCCTTCCTAAACACGCAAGACCCCCAAAGCTCAGGTGTACACACCCTGAACCGGTAAAACATCAAAACATTGAGCAAGAAAACCTACACCCAAAGCGCCTAAAAGTCTAAAAGGCCCTACAAACCCGAACACACCAAAAGGATGATCAAAAGCTTGCAAACCCCAAACCCGAAAAGCTTGAAAACCCCAAAGCCGTCAAACCCAAACACCCTAAACCCCGAACATGCTACAACCCTAAACCCGAAACCCCGAACTGCAAAATCCCCTGTAGCCCTACTCACAATTTTTCGGAAGCCTATGAATCCCCAGACTCTAGCCGATAAAACCGAAAAATAATAATAATAATAATAATAATAATAATAATAAGTCTCAAACTTGTCAAACCCTAAAAATCCTCAGGCCCTATACCGTCTGTACCCTGGACTCAGTCCTAAGCCTTAAAAGCCTTAGAAACCCGAAAAGTGTTGTTTGCCGACACAAACAACCCATCACCACTCTTACTATGAGCCTACGAGCTGCATCAAGCACGAACAGCCAAGGCAAGGACTGGTAAATTTTGAAAGCGTTGAAGCCAGCAATCGTCTCTAGATGGTTGTGTCGGCATGCATCCATCAGGTCATTTACCTGCACAGCTTGACAGCAGCAGTCACGTCACACGGCCCAAGGACTGGGAGCACACCTGTAACAGAGGCCGTTCCACTGCGGTCTCCTCTGTGTACTTCTCCTCCGCCAGGTGCCTTGTGAGCACGAAAATTGACATGTAAATATATATATATAGATAAATAAACGAATAAGAAATTTAAAAAAATATATATATGTATATATAGATAAATAAGTAAACAAATAAGTAAATGTATATATATATATATATATATATATATATATTATGTGTGCATATATATCTATATATATTATGTGTATATATGTATATATTCACACTGACAAAACATGCGCTCATATCTCAGAACATCTCAGCTGTTTCTTTGCAAGCGCTCCGTTAACCCTTGACGTATTCCTGTCAAGCAGCACAAGGGCACACTTGGGAGCGCCGGCCTCATTTGCAGTCTGCATGAAACCACAACCAGTTTCGTCGAGCCGAGATCGGGGCTGAAAAGAAATCTCCGGCTTTCTTCATGACTTCCCTATCTGGCCTTGAGAGGGCATCCTACATCTCTGCTCCAAGCTGTGCCACATTGCACTGCACCCTCTGGTTTGTAAGGATGCGACTCTTGCTCCGCAAACACTTCCGTGTAGACTTTTTTGGGTAATGTGGATACCTGTCTCAAGCGCAAGATATCGCAAGATTCTCTATGAGCCTTGGCCTTGACCGTCTGAAGTATCCATGCAAACCGGATGGCAATGTCATGCCAGAGCATGAAAACATCTGCATCGCCGAACACCCCTGACACTTGCCACACCCTACAAACGCAGGGCACCTTGGACTCGTCTTTGGGCTTGTGATGCCGGTCCCAGATGACTAGAGAAGTCGTTTTCGTCTTTGCCTGGCGGCAGATATGACAGCACATGCTCACGGCAACTGAACAAAAAGCTTGAATAGCCACGCACGAGGCACCAACTCTGCCACCAAGCCAATGCCAGATGCAGAGCTCTGCCCACGAATGACGACGACGTCCTTGCTCAAGTTGAGATTGTGTGAATTGGTTGGAGACTTTTCTCTGAAGCCAAGGGTCCAGAGACTCTGTCTTCGGCGTCGGTTTCACAAGAACTTGTTGGAAAGCACCTCACATGTCAACAGCATGAGCTTGCTGTCTGCTGACGCTGCTGCCGTGTGCATCCGTGTGCCTGTGTCCGTACTTCCTGGCCACCGCGGAGCGCCCCGCAGAACATGGACACGGCTACCTCTGCAGCTGCGGGTGAAGTCATCTGGAATTGCAAGGCATGCTGAACTGATTGGAAAATTCGGAAAACTCACGGAGAACAGTTTGTTTTGCTGTTGGGACTGCAACCTGGACACTCTCTCCTGCAACCCTGGCTTACCAATCATTCTACTCGCGGAATCGATTGAAACTGCTGGGGGATATACTACGACACCCGGACTCGCTCGAGAGTACCTGTGTGTGTGTGTGTGTGTCTCCGCCCACGCATATTGCTGAACCTACGATATTAATAGATCCGGCCGGCCACGTGCACGTTGAGCCGAATCCTGTCTTACGGAAGCTCAACAGCGATGAATCCGAAGTTACTCCCAGCCACACAGGTATGCAGAACTCATCTTTTCGTATTCCGAAACCTACCGATATTCTGTAAGCGCCCTCCCATGCCACGCAAAGTCAAAAAACGACATCGTTTCCTCTTGGCGTGCTGCATTTCCATAATCCTTCGGGTTCCTGTGACCCCGTAAAGGTTTGACATAAGGTCGATGCTGACGGTCACAACAGTGTGACTTTCGCTGACAAAAAAGATGTTGAAAGATTTCCGTGCATACGTTTTTGTCGAGTACAGGTTTTCAGAACTGAGGGTTTGGGATATTGGTGTTTTCGGAGTTGGGGTTCGGGAGGGTGCCCACACAAGAAACAGTATGGAAAGCCCTTTGAAAAGGCCAGCCTGCCAGCTGAAGTGGGGAGTCCGGCCTGCTCTCACATGTCCGAAGAGGCAACAGGGGTTTTACCGAGTCATGCCGAGTCATACCCTGTCGGATAAGCTATTAGAGCCTAGGCTAGAGGAGCCAATGGTGCCAAGTTAGAGACCAGAATGTGTCCAGGGCAGGTAGAAAGCACAATGGCATAATGGGCTCTGGCGCATGAAACGAACCTCAAACGACCGAGAAACCTAACATTCAGGCAGTGGGGTCGTGCTTTACGGGGGGGCCAGGGGGGGCGGGGGGGGTTGAGCGCAAAAGCACATGCTTTACGAGGGGGGGGGGGGGGGGGGGTTGAGCACAGCAGCTTTGCGGGTTTTGGGGAGGGGTGCGGGTTAGGGGGGGTTGGGGGGTTGGGGGGTTGGGGGGGTTGGTTGGCGTTGGGGGGGTGAGGGGGGGGGGTTAGGTTTGGGGAGGGGGCCGAAGTTTGGGGAATTCCGTGTTCCCAAAGGCAGAGTCAAGGGTGCCAGCAAGCGTCCCGCAACGCCTTGCTGGCACCCTTGACTCTCATTCTGGGAACACCAGATTCTCTTTAAACACAAGTGAATCTTGGCTTTGCAGGAAGGGAGTCAAGGGTGGCTGACACCCAGACCCCCCCCCACCCCACCCCCCCAGCACCCCCCCCCCCTCTCCACCCCCACCCCACCCCACCCACCCCCCAACCAAGCCACACCACCAACCGACCCCAGACCAACAGTTTTCGCGTAAAATAATCATTTAGTTTTTAAATCTATAGCATGACGGCTGCCAGGGCTGTCAAGCTGTTAGGTTTTGAGGCTTTATGGATTTGAGTCATATCGTTTTTGCAAGGGTTGAGGGTTCTGGTTGGAAGGGAGGTTGTGTGCAAGCATCTTTGCTTTCGAGTCTAAGTGGCAGCTCCATCGCAACGACTTTCAACCTCCCAACAACGGGCAACATTGCCTTCAATTTCGCAACCTCCCAACAACAACAGTCTATTAGGCACTAATAGAGACTAATAGAGCCTAATAGGGCCTAATAGTCCTTATATGTCACCCTTGACCCCTGGTAACCAGGCTCTCTTGGCATATGGGACCCTGCCTGCTGGACTCCTTCTCTACGCGTTCTGCCGAACCACAGAAAAGGAACTCTGCGACGCCGCTTCCAGCTCCTAGGACACTAATCTTCCCAACTTGTGCCAATTCTCAGAACATCTCAGAACCATAGTTGCAGCTGCCAGATATCGGCTCTACTCAGAATGGGATCCCCGGCCTTTCTCATAGCAAACGCACTCCAGTGGCCTTAACTTCAACCACCCGTGCATCGCAACACGGGGAAACATTGTGACAACAGTGCCCCGAGTTCATGCAGACGTACTAGCTCATTGCAAAACACGACTGCTACCTGTACGTTCCAGATCACCTTGCTTGCAGTTGAACACGATGGCCCTTCCAGCAATCCCATTGACCTGAGGAGCAGACCCGTACTTTTGCAACAACTTTGAGATGTCCTGCAGCGGTTCAGCGCCAAGAAGACAGATAGGCGAAAGCGATGTCAGTAGCCACATGAAGCCACATGAAGCCACATGAAGCCACAAGCCCGAATGCAGACAAACGCGAGACGTGAGACACGAGACATGAGACGACTTTAGACATGACTAGAAACGCGACAAGGAACACCCGCACGAGGCACAGCACCAGATGCAACACTTTATCACACACACACACACACACGAGATATGAGGGGCACGGTAGGAGGCGAGACTTCAGAAACCTCATAGGAGCCGACGCAGGTAAGAGGGGCCCGAGGCCGAAAAACGGGAGCTTCCACCACCTGCATTCGAAGCAAGGTTCCATGTTCGAAACACGAGCTTCGGCAAGCAGTGCATCCGGAAACAGGAGGCTTCCACAAGGCAATGGGGGAAGCATCACAATGCGGGTCTGCAGGAAGATTCGAAGAGTAACACATGAGGGCACAACGACTCGACGAACCCATCCCAGAGCCCAAAACCGGAACGAGAGGATGGTGCCCCCCCCCCTCTGCTCCCCCCTATGCGCCGGCTGACTGCTCACACGCCGAGAAGAAACCTTTGTTGATGCGGAAAAGGCGCTTCTCTCTGCCACAGCTACAGCGAAACTTCTTCGAACGGACGCAGGCCGAACTTCCCGGAACACCTGAGAACCGGAACACCTTTCTCTGCAGAATGTTATGAGAAGGGGACACCGTGCAGGTCTTACAATGGTTAAGACGGCCGAGAACTGTCCAAGCGTCTTTTAACTAAGTGTCTCTGCTACACAAAAGCGCAGAACATCCTCGGCGCTGCAAGTGTCAGGGACACCGCGGAAAACCACCTTCGCACAGGCTAAGGATGCAAGGAAGGCTGAAGCATGCCATGAGCCCACAAAATGTCACAAGGAGATATGTAAACATTTAAAACGGAGGCTCGTATTCTAAGCTGAAACCTGCCTTGTTGGACAAGCTGAGGTCACTTATGTCGCTGGCCTGAGCTGGGAAATTGTCGGATTCATGGGCTTGGCATGGCTTGGCTAGAACCAAGGATAATCACGAGGACGTACGAGTTATTGCTTGGGGAGCAGCACCATTGAGATTCTCACCACATCGTCCAAGAAGCATCAAAAAAGCAAGGGTTCACACTTCAGATTTTCAGATTACTGAATATCTCCAGTCCTTGGTCTCTGAATGGGCAGCTGAGGTTGGCTCCACCATGTCCCGGCCCACAGCAAAACACTCTCACATTGAATTCCAAAGCTGGAGCCCGATTGACAGATTTGAGCCGAAAGCAAACCACCAAACCAAAGGATGCATATTATGTCGAAAACCCGGAGAGAGAAAGAGCACTTTCTCAAAGAGCACATTTCTGTGAAGAGCACATTCTGCCAAGCGTGTCATTTCTGTTTTCCCAACGGCAACCGCGAGCGCCAGCAGCAGTTGTCGCTCTGAGTGTGGTCTGCGATCGTGCTGAACCTGAACCGGGCGCAGCGACTGCTTTGCGTCGTCTGAGGCGACATATCCATGACAACGAGCACGGCATGCTGTTGGATAAGAACTCAGAAAAGCCCATGAAGCCCATGCAGCCAAATGTTTAGATGTCGGATCTTCTGAAGTGGAGGCATGCTGCGAGCATCTTCTTGTTGCAGACCGCGGATAGCCAAGCCACATCTCAACAGATTCCGGATCGTGCATGCCTAGGAAAGACAAAACTTTTTTGCAAAAGGAGGGACTCAAGCCGAACTGCCGCTCGAGAATCCTGTTGTGGAGTCTTGTCTGATGCTTGTCACATCGGAGCTCAGGATTACACAGGAGCTGCAACTCTCGTTGGGCCGGCTGTCCCACAATGCGGACAAATTGTGCCAAAAAGTTCTCATGCATATGACCATGCCACTGCAAGATCTCCGCGGCCACCACTGCCTGGCCGGCTTCATGCATCTCAGAGAGTCGTGGCGGTAGTGTAGCTTGCTTCTGCTTCTGCATCATGGCCAGTTGCCCACTGGCCCACGAGGTTAAAGCTTCCAGGCAAGGCATGGCCTGAATTCCAAAGAAGCCGGCTTCAGCTCCGCCAGCTTCAGCTACATCCAGCGCAACTTGCAAAGTCACTGGGTCGCCGGAGAAAGTATGCTGGGCCAGGGCGGCCTCAAGCAGGGCTCCCGCTTTTGCGTACTTTGCAGCTTCCTTGCAGGCGGAAGCGGCCAAGTTGATGGCAATTCCAGAAGGTAGTTCTAAGGTTTGGAGTTCATGCAAGACAGACAGGGATAGCTCCCATGCCTGTCCACACGCACAAGCTTCAAGTACGCCATGAAAAGATGTAAGATCAGGCAGCAGACTACCTTGCAACATGTCGTGCAACAACTCGAGTGCTAGATGCCAGCTCTCTACCTGCTTGCAGGAGCCGAGGACAGCATTGTACGACACCACATCCGGCCAATGGATGTCGTGTACATCCTGCTCGTCTTGCGCATCCCATATGTTGGAGGCCATTCCACTCTGCCCCCGCTGCTGGCGCTGCTCGCGCTGCTCGCGCTGCCCGCGCTGCCCACTCTGCAGCAGCGCCAAGGCTGCCCACCAGTTCTGCACCGTTGCGCAGCTGGAGATGGCCACGTTCAAGGCGGTGGGGTCTGGCAGCAGGGACTCTGTAACGGCTCTGTTGAGGACACTGATGGCCCGCTGCCACTTCAAGCCTGCTTCGCAAGCCGACATCACAGTCGTCAAAGTCACCATATCAGCCTGCAAGGTGTGCGCCGCGACGAACAAACTGAGTGCCCTTTCCCACTGCTGGCCTGAGGCACAGGCCCCCATAGCAGGATTGCATAATCCACTAGTCCAACCCGGGCTCGGCACCATGCTAAGAACGCTCAGAGCAGCTTCCCAGCATCCACATGCTTGGCATGCACGTAAGGTTGCTGCAAAAGCGATTGTGCTGGGTTGTAGCAACTGATCTAGCATCCTCATCAAGGTGTTGATAGCCATCTGCCAATCGCGACCCTTCTCCCATGCGGAGATGAGAACTCCCATGGAGACTTCATCAGATTTGAGGCGTAGATCTTCTGCTCGTTCGCAGATAGCCACCGCAGCATGCCAGGCACTGCTCTTTTCACACGTACTTGCAACAATGCTATAGCTTGCAATATCACAGGTTGAGGCAGCATTTAGCATGTGGATACACAGCGACCATTGAAGCTCGGCTTCTAAAACACCCAGCACTGCATTGATTGATCTTAGGGTTGGTGAGACGTTGAAGTCTGGCATCATGGAATCTAGGATGTGAAAAGCATACTCCCAACCTGGAGAATGTTGGCAAGCTCGTAGAAGCACATCAAAGGTTACAGCTGTCGGCATGATGTGCGCATCAACCATCTCCGCAAACATATTGAAAACCATCTCCCACTTGCCCGCCTTGTCCAGACCACTCAAGGCGGTCGTGTAAACAATAACATTCGCAAGTATCGTGGATCTTCGCATGCGGCTCATGATTTCCCCTGCTGCTTGCCAAATGGACCCTTTCTCTGCGGAGCTGATTGCTGCACTGAACACCACCACGTTTGGTGTAAACGCGGACTCAATATCCTGCAAAAGTTGTAAGCTGGATTCCCACTTGCTGGCACGGCCACAGATGCTGATGGTCGTCGCCACAGGAACTTGCCAGTTGCCAGCATTGCCAGCCATGTTATCAGAGCTGTCCGTTCCAAAGCTTGGTGCTCCACAAGACTGCAATAGGTGCAACGCCCATGCCCATTGACCTGGGAGATCACATGCCGCGACTGCAGCTCCGCACGCAAAAGCGTCAACATCCAGCTTCTTGCGCAACATATGCCTCAGGAAGTCCAGACAAGCTTGCCAGTCACCCAATGGAATGCATCCCTGCATGAGGGCTGTGAAGCTACGCACGTCCAACTGCAACAGACTGTTCTGCGCACACATCAACGTCGACAGTGCCGCTTGCCAGGAAGATGATGCAAGGGTGCCAGCGCAAGCAGCACAAGCAACTGCCACCGTGTTGTAAGAGATGATGTCTGCTTGGAGTGACCACTCGAAGGCATGAACAGCCAAATGAAGTCCTGCCTGCCACTTGGCAGCCCGCTGACAGGCAGATAGTACAGTGTTGAGCAAAATCACATTCTGTTCGATGCTAGTTCGGGATGCCTCGGTAAAGAGATCTAAGCTCTTTTGCCACAACTTCTGGCGCCCATGGGCCGCAATGACCTTCCCAAGATCCTGCCAGCTGGCCATGAAAGCTCGAAACTTGGAGTAAACTTGGTACACAGTAAACCTCTTGCCTGGGCAGATCGCGGGGCTTGCACATGCGGACTTGTCGGACTTGCCTCCGCGCAATGGACGACATCAAACAAGATCAGTGAACCCAACTGGCACCCGAGGGGCACCCGAGGTCTCCTTTGACAACCCTCAGCAACGAGACTGCTGTCGTGACAAGCTTCCCGGCTTCCCGGCCTCAAGCTGCAGTGGGTACATTGGCTGCTGGGTGCAGAGACGAAAACATTCTGAGTGATTCTAATGTGCAGAGCCTGCAACAGCCGCCTTGCACATGGATGTATCATGGTCGTCGTGCCATGTCGCGTCAGCGTGGCTGCCAAGAGCATAAAAACTTGTTTGAGCTATGGCACTCGAGCATGGCATTGCACCGGCGCCTGAGTCCATATCCTGTGAAACTAGCCACAACCGGTAGCTCAGATGATCCATGGTCCTTCTATGGTCCTCCTTACAAGAACTGACGATGGTAGTGGCTATGATGTGAAACATCGCCGTGCATATTACACAGCAAAGATCCTAGACAATCCACTCAACACTGAGGTAATGTTGCTTGCACCGTTCAGCTGTCAATTGATTGTACTTCCTGCACTTCAGACAGCAAATTCATATGACATTTGTCTGCCTCAAAATCTATGGCAGCGGAAGTCAACCACTGCTGTCCTGGGCATGCGCAAACCTCAGACATTTGAAGCATGTTCCCACTGCGATTGCAGATAATGATTTCATACAGTCATGCTCTTGTGCAAGCTGAAACGGACCGAGGAGCAAGTACTGTGCCAAGAACTCGATTGGGTCTTCCGGCTGTTCCTTGCAAACCTCACAATGCTCGGGACACACAGAGGTCCACAGCATCCCAAAGTCGATTGAAATCGTGTAGCTTCACCTGGTATGGATTTACCCGTCATGCAGCAGATTTGGACTGCGGTAGACCAACAGACCAACACATCCCCATCTCCAGCACACTGTGAGCAGCACAGTGCCTTAAGACTTATCCAACCGAAAACGAACCAAACACTTCGTTACTTTGCCACTTTGTCATGGCAACAAGTAGCAAGTTTGCGCATCAGCATGTGTTCAGAAGCACCATATGCTAAGATGTGGTTAGTCCACCTGCCTCCGTAAGACCAGCTGTAAGAGTTGGAACGACATGCGCCCTGTCATCTCAGCTCAACTTGTCTGCAGACTCCCATGAAGCTGTTGCAACATGCTAAACATGCTGAAACATGTCGGGATTGCATCAGGTACTGCCGGAGCGGCTGCGCCTCGATAAAGTGCAGCCCAATGTTTGATCTCCACTTGCAACGCTGTACATCGGCGATCTTTCAAATGATGCTCCTCCGCACTCCGGTACTACTCTGGTCTTGCAACGAGAACAGCCTTTCCTCTGTACATTGGTCTTCTTGACCATTGACTGCGCAACCTCTGCGATGTAGTCACTCTGAGCATTTCGCTCAAAAACATCAATTTCAGAGGGTGTTGCGAACAAAACTCATGCGGGCACATAAGACTGAAGTAAAGCATGTGCTAGAAGACTACAGAGGCTTGCCGTCACGTAGTGCGTTGCAACGAATCCACTGCTTACCTTTCTCGGCTGCCGCAGCCACCAGGCGAATGCTTGGCCGATCAGAGGAGAGCCCACTACAGCACATGTCAGAGTTTGCTGCATTTTTAGTGCAGCCTGTGTCGTTGCTCCACCCAGTGTTGGGCACTGGTCTCGCACAGCAGATGTGAGCATTGCTCGCATGGCAGATTCGACACTTATTCCTGGAAGGCCCAACACCAAAGCTGCTGGCAAGTGCCACCAACGATGCGTAAGCCCTCGAAGGGCAAGGTCGGCTGCGCTGAATAGTGTACCAGCAAGGACGATTCTTCGAGCTGAAAATCGCTTCAATGCTTTCCGAAGCAAGTTGCTACCGAGGAAAACGCAGAAGCCCCAGAAGCTAAGAAGCTTGGACATCTGGGTGCGGCCCCAGCCAAGTCGCAGTTCCATGAAGGTGTGCAAATAGGCATCCACACAGCGTGTCACGCATTGCATCGAGTACATCAAGGCCAAATGTGCCAAGTTGGAGCCCTGTCGAAATAGGAGCGTTGCTGATTCAAGCGGATTAAACTTGTGAAGCTCGATCCTTCTACGTCCAGAAGTCTCCAGAGTCTCTGGAACCGAGAGAACGGTAGCAAGAATAATGCTGCTCAGAACGCCTGCCATCCAGAAGGGCGCGTGAGCTCCAAAGTTTCTACGAAGCAATATCGACAGTAGTGGCGCTCCAACAACAGCAAGGCCTACATAAGACTGGCCGGTTGCAATTGCATCCGCCAAGTCTTTTGGCCGATGTTGTAGCAGGTCTGATTGAGCAGAACTGCTCACCGTCAAAAAGGCAGTGCTTGTGACCGAAGACAAAGCCTTCATGAAAGCAACTAAAGGCTTGGAAGTGAGAGTTCGAGGCACCAATGCCCCTATCACAGACCATCCACACAGTTCAAGGGGCCCCGTAAGGAGGAGCAGAGGTCGCCGTCCATAGGCATCTGCAAGCACACAAACCGCCGGCGTTGCCAGAAAGTCCAGAAATGACTCTGCAGTTCTCTGGCACATGGACCACTGGGTAAAGCTGTGCGCATCCTGCTGACACACTTCCAGAAGAAGCACAGATACATCGGAGTGAATGAGGGAGTTACAGAAAGTTTGCAGTGCAGCGCTGGCTTGCAGCAGCAGCACTTGCTTCTGTCTCTGCATGTCATGTCCGTCAGCTTGAGCTTGCCCTGTGGGTTTTCCGTCTTTGCCGCTGGCCACTGATTCTGCCAAACGTCCTTGGTGGCACATGCGGTCCTGAAAACACCCACAGGGACTGAGAAGCAAAAGGGAAACTTCCCCTTGACTTCACGCAACAAGCAACTGACACATCCGACAAAACAAGCTACAAGTTAATCCAAACTACTCCAAAAGCCGATATGTGCTCTTCTGCATAACACTGGGCATGCGAAAGGCTGACGACACAATAAAAACTCTTTCACTCTCGACAGCAGAATGCAAGAAAGGACTGCTTTACCTCACTTCAGGCCGGGGCTGTAATTAGGAGCATGATCATGGATCACTTGGCAACAGCGTGTACCAACTTGCCATTGATGCATCTTGACGTGAGTCCTAAGGGTATTTCTGGCACAAGACAAGGGAGGAAATGCCGGGATGCGAATGCACCACATGCCCGGCGATTGTTCGTTTCTTAAATCTGCGTTGTCCAAGCCAGGCAGCCATTGTGATGCACGCCGGTTTGCTCTTGGCTGATACTGTCCAGCGCTTGATGGCCATTCTGCGAGCATTCTGCAGTCGAGAGCGGTGCCATTCACCGCCTGCCGCGGTATCTGCCAAACATGGCTCTTGTATTCTCCTGTATCTGCATACCACGTGCATACCTGTCGTGCATACCTTTCACAATCGTGGGGGTGTTGTTCTGCATATTTTTCTGGCTATGCTGTATACTCGCATACCGGGGACCATGCGCCACGTAAACCGCAGTGCTTCTTCATCGAGCACAAGACCCAGAGCACACCAAGACATAACATGTGCAGAAGCTCAACCGGATGCAAAGAGAAAACAGCGAAATCCAGCATCCTGGCCTCCGCCTCCAAGTGCGCCGCCTCGTTCCGCGCAATGACCTCACGCGTTCCGGCACACTCATGTTTACACATCCAGTGCTGCTTAGCTCTGGGGGCACAAACATCCGCAAAGCCATGGTCTGACTAAACTGTGAGGGCTTGCCCTGCGTCGCGACTCTTCTTCATCAGCGAGTTTTTCGCGCAGGGCGGTTTCCTTCTGCCCAAGCTCCTGCAATCACAGCTCGCTTGCCGTTTCATCCAGTTTTCGTAGATATACGTCCTACTTTTCTTTTCAGCTTGGCACGACAAGCCATGCATCTTCATAAGAACAGTCGCTAGCTGTCCTTCTTGTCGCGTGCCTCTTGCACGTCGCGTTCCTCCTCCAGTCTTGCCTGCTTTTCCTGCTCCTCGCGCATCAAGTCTTCCTCGGACCTGCTTGCGCAACACGATGCATGTTACTTTTGGGACAAGAGCTTAAACAAAGCCTGGCCTGAGGTAATTGAAGAACTGACCCTTGGACTCCATGTGAATTCTAATGGCCTCGTAGTGACAAACTAAAACTTCTCAACTTCTCTGAGGTATGCTGACCGGGCTGTCGGGCCTGGAAAGCCTCTTCCTCACTGCAGTTGTCCACGTCGATGGGCAACATCTCAGGGTGGCACTCCATTGCACATGAACAAGCTTGGCCAGCACAAAACAGCTTGTCTAATCCAGGTTTCCAACAGCAAGTCCACATTGCTCCAGGAAGAACTCTGCAGTGCTTGGGGTTCCATCCTCTGAGCATTGTCTGGCTTGAATATCCCTGACTCTGCACCAGCAACGCAAGATCGCATAAGATTCTCGTTTCCTCCGCAAGGTTGGCCCCGCGATACTCTGCCGTTTCTCTGTTGAAGTCCTGCGCTGGCCATGCCCCACTCAAGGTTACAACAAAAGACCAACCCATACCAACCCTACATCGCCTACATCCATGAACGCTCGAAAACTCGAGAGCGTGCGCGCGCGCGCACACGAACACTAACAACACAAAGCTGCTTTCGTGCTGCTCTGGCATGGGGTTGAGCAGCTCTCCGAGTCAAGCCAAGTTTCGAAACGTTCGCACCCCGACTCGCGCGATACACTAGAGATACCATCACAATGTAGAGAACTCAGGATGGGGTCGCGTGAGACCCCTTATGGGTTGAGCCCTGGATGAAAGGAAAGCGTGTACCAACATGAATCTTGCCTTCCTCGGATTTTGAAGCTTGAACTAGAGACTTGCTTAGACTTTGAACACTACACTCCGCGGCTCCACTGGGCTCGTAGCGCCCCCACGAGGCTCGCCACGACTCCCTGCATCGGCTCGAGCGGCCATTGCAGAAGTGCCCGTCTGAGTCTCTAGACCAGTTCTACCTGAACAGCTAGGTTCAGACAGAAAGCGTAAAGGGTCGATGAAGCAGACTCGTTTGGTGCATGGTAGCGCTGCGCACGCGAGAGATGCACAGTCCGTCGAGAACCGGATCCAGCACTGAGGGGCACTTTCGGGAGGGGGGCATCGAGGCTGCCCAAGACGCTCATCCAAGAGCAACGCCATGCAGGCGGCGACGAAACGCTAATGGGCGGCAATGGCGACGATGTCGAGGCCGGGGCAGAGGTAGTCGAAGCCATGGCGATGACATGCGGATCAAGACAGGGCTGAACTGCCGGGGGCGTGATTCGGCGTCGAAAGCTTCGACGCTCGCCACTCCGCACGTCCCTGCACACACTACGTGTGTTGCACCACAAAAAAATATCCACGATCGGCCTCAAGTACCCACACAACAAGAACTGCACATGTGTGCACACCCGGGCGAATGGGCTGCCCCCTAAACCAGACCAACCTTAAAGGCATCGGGGGATCGAACATTCGCCGTTCATCGCTGCTCAGGCTGTACTGCGTGCTCAACCCACAAAAACAATCTGCATTGCAGGCTCCTCTTCAGAGGAAGGCCCTTTCGCATCGCCGTGGAATATCCTTGCCTGAACGATTTGCACTCCAGGCAGCAACAGGAAATGATGCGACTGGTCTGAGGCTGTCGCTTTGCATCGTGGTTCGGAAGATTGTATCAACACACCATATTCTGGGACCTCAACGAGTCACATCACAGAGACACGTTAACTGTAAGCCGAATACATGTATAAGATGCTCTGCAAAGCAAGGTCCGCACCACACCTTCTGCGACTTTGAACTTGGGCCTCTGAAGTGCAGCTTTGCTCTACCAATTTGGTAGACAAACCCTGAGAGGGACACCGCAAGCGGCTTGGACAAGACGTGCCTCTCGACTTCTTCTTCGTCCTCATCGTCCTCTTTAGACGCAGGGACTTCTTCAACTTCCTGCACATTCAGGCTTGCAAGATCACTTGCTCCAGGATCACAAAAGGCCACGTTGGTGAGTTCTGCGTATGTGCACAATTCTTGACAGAAAAACCGTATCAACATGCATCACAATGTGCTCTCGCAGTGCAGACTTTCCTAAGATCAGTCGATGACAATGCTCACTCATCAACCTCTTTGAGGTTCGACGATTTGCATACTCTCGCGACATCACTGGCCTCACTGGACCGTTCAAGTCTGTGCTCGTGAGCGTCAGCTTCGATTCCGCATGGTTGCTACAGGCGTGCATTGCTCTGCCGCCAAACTTGTAAGAGAACGAGTTCTCCCGTCTCTTCTTTTCACACTGGATTTGCATGCTAGTGAAGCTTGAAAATGCAATGGAAAGCTTGTCATAGCTTGGGCCCTTTCAAAGACAATGTGGCTAAAGGTAGACTGTTAGGTCTACACAACCTAGCGCAGCTTTCGGGTCTGTGGACGAAATCAAGAGGTTTGCTTTGCTACCTCCAACGGAAGGTAAGCCGCGAGGCCCAAGAATGCTTCGCAGACTTGCCGGATTCTAGATCTTTAGGTGGAGCATATACGGTGAAAGAAGATGACGAAACGCAGCTTGCTGCAATTTGGTGCGCAAGCCCATCACTCGGTTTGTATAACGCTTAGGCCCAGGCTGTTAGAAGTTGCCTTCAACTGCTCCTTGCTATGTTTCATGTTGCCTTGGTTTGAGTACGGATTTCGGAAATTTAGGGCTTGCAGGGCTTGGATATTCAGAGGGGTCATTTTCCACATTGACATCGCCACCACCCCATTCTGACCTGCAGAAACCATTTCATGACCGTACACAAACATGTTGAAACAAGGACTTCCACCCGGACCACGGACCACAGGTTGCCGGGGAGTTCATTTTGAAGGAAACGGGTGTTTTAACTCGGGTTTTACACGGTTTCTTTACAAATCAAACAACAGACTGTGCAAAACAACTACTTCGTTTTCTACCATTTGTGTGGCTCTTTCTGTTACATTGTGTTTCGGTTCCGAGACTGAGTGTAAACCCGGAGTCTAACCTTAGAGGTCAAGTCCGCAACCCGTAGAGAAACAAATGCGCTTCAAATACCCGTATTTTGCGCAAGGTCGCCAAAGGGAGGGGGGGAGTGAGTGAGTGAGCGACCTCTGCGGGAGCAGGGCCATGCCTCAGGCGCCATCTCTCCCGGCTTTGCAGGGGGCTCCGAAAAGCGTCATCGCCCCTTCCACTTGGAGTTCAAGCTGGCAGAACGCCCCGGGCTCCGTAAACGTCATCGCCCAGCAAGGGGGGGGGGGGGGGGAGAGAGGGCCCCGAAAGTAAGCAGTCAAAAAAAGGAGGCATGCTGGCGCACAAGTGGCGCACAGAAAAACACCAAACATACAGGCATGCTGTCGCTCCAGCAGCAAGCAGAAACAAAAAACAGAGAGCCATGCTGGCACTCCCACGGCAGGCGGAAAAGTTTTATACACAGGCACATTGGCGCTCCAGCGGCAAACAATACAAAAACTTGCAGGCATGCTGGCCCACCAGCGGCAAGCAAACAAAAGAAAAAAACAAGACTAAATGCATGCTGGCACTCCAGCGGCAGGCGGAAAAAATCAACACACACGGGCATGCTGGCGCTCCAGCGGTAAGCGCAAAAACACACACACACACACACACACACACACACACACACACACACACACACACACACACACACACACACACCCACCCACCCACCCACCCACCCACCCACCCACCCACCCACCGACCGACCGCGACACACACCGACACACACCGACAGAGAGGCATGCTGGAGCTCCAGCGAATAAAAACACAGGCGACCTGGCGCTCCAGCGGCAAGCAGAAACAAAGAATCACAACGGCAAGCTTGCGCTCCAGCGGCAAGTGGAAAAAACACACACACACACAGGCATGCTGGCTCTCCATCGGCAGGCAAAAAAAACACAGGCAACCTGGCTCTCCAGCTACAAGCAGAAACAAAAAAACAAAACGGCATGCTGGCGCTCCAGCGGCGAGCGAAAATATTGACACAAGGGTATGCTGGCGCTCCCGCGGCAGGCCAAACAACAAACATACAAACAACATTGCACCCGAGCGGCAAGCAGAAACAAAGGACAAAAGCCATGCTGGCGTGCCAGCGGCAGGCGGCAAAAACAACACACAGGAATGCAGGCGCTCCAGCGGCAAACAACGCAAAAACTCTGCCGCTCCCATACAGGCAACCTGCAACTCCAGCGGCAAGCAAGAACACAAAACATAAAGGCATGCTGGCCCTCCAAAGGCAAGCGGAAAACGTCAACACACAGGTATGCTGGCGCTCCAACGGCAAACGACGAAAACACAGACATGCTGGCGCTCCAACGGCAGGTACAAAAACACATACAGGCATGCTGGAGCTCCAGCGGCAAGCAGAACAGAAAACATAAAGCCATGCTGGCGCTCCAACGGCAAGCGGAAAAAACATCAACACACAAGGACGCTGGCGCTCCAGCGGCAAACAACGTGCTGGCGCTCCAGCGGCTGAAAAACATACCGGCAATCTGGCGCTCCAGCGGCAAGTAGAAACAAAAACATAAAGGCACGATGGCCCTCCGGCGGCAAGCGCAAAAATATCAACACACAGGTATGCTGGCGCTCCAGAGGCAAACGACGAAAGACTTGCAGGCATGCTGGCGCTCCAGCGGCAAGCAGAACAATTCATAAGGGCATACTCGCACTCCCAAGTCGGCGTGCTGGCGCTGAACAGGTGTGGGTTGGTCCACCTCTGGCGCGCCAGTACTCACACGCGGCAAAATCGTGTGACGGTGCCCCTGAGCCTACCACGTGCAGTGGCCCCACACACAGCTCGGGGTGGTCGCCAAAGGCATGGACGCTTGTGACAGCTTTTTTAGTTCCACATCCTTGTGCAGTATGTTGTACAAAGAAGCAAAAATGCTGCACATACCAGTGTTGTGTTTGGGCATGGTCGCGAAAGGCATGGACGCTCGTGACAGCCATTTTGTTCCACATCCCTTGCGCTGTGTGTTGTACCAAGATGAGATGCCCTAGTCGTCCAGCTGTGGCCAATCACGTGAGCAGAGATGAAAGCTAGGGCAGCATCGGGGACAAACTGGGACTGCAAGCGTGCCCCGGTTCCATTCAGGAGCGCATCCGCTGGATGGGAGGTCCGGGTGCCATTCCCCAAGTCTCGGCATGCCGGATGCGGCAGATCAGGTAATCCGTGATCGAACTGGTTTTCGTGCAGAGGACGTGAACCCGAAATCCTCACATGTCACACTCCCAAAGAAAGAGCAATGCACAACAGGAAACGATCGCATCCTCAGGCCAGCTCTCGTTAGAGTTTTGGGAAAACAACAGGGCAGGGCCGCGGAGGCAGGGGCAGAAGCCGCGGCACGAGCTCTGAGAGATCTCCGGGGACACAGTGCTCGCGACTTCATTCTAGATCGGCTATGAATAACATTACGAAAAACCAGGATTTTGAGCATCACTGGAGCATCACGAAATGTGTGAAAGACCCGAAAACATAAGTACCAGCATGGGGCGCAGTGTGCCTGAAGGCCTGAAGACGACTTGCTCAGAAACTCAATTAACAAATAACAAACTGATTGCAACTTCAGGCGCCTAGAAGCAGCCGCAGACATTGTTCCACTTCATCGCCACATCTAATTTGGACATGTTTTGTGATTAAGCTTGCTTCTTGTCACCTGTGACATAGTCGGCTTTCGGACTGTCGTATTTGTGTGTCAGCTTGAGCAGAACTGGTTGACTTGCAAGCCGCAAGATCCATCCTACGAGTTGTCCATGCAAGCAAGCAGCCGCAAGCAGCCCTGCAGTCACAAGGAGCCGCCAAAGCAGTGTGCTGTGTTTCTTCATCCTTGCCTCCTCTTCCTCATCTTCCACATCCTCGTCACCATCATCAGCGTCGGCCTGCATGAAAGCATGCTCATTGCAGTTCACGCCCACTTGTTCATCTGGAGCCTGATCCACTCCTAAGTGGATCCAGGTCACCACTATGCCCTGACTATGCATATTTTGGTACGTGGTTGGAGGGCCTTTGCTGAGGAGGTAATGAAAACAAACTGCCAGTGAATAACTTTGGATAGATCCGCATAGCTGATCCTGAGAACTGTCCAAGCGAACACGGCACAGCTGCCGTCTTTGGAGCCTAGGAACGTTTACTGATCGACAGTTTTGTCTTGGGGGGGCTGAATCGGATCTTACAAGTGGCGTCCTCAACCGGTCTTGGGGCCAATAGTCCATTCACAGGCGATTGTCGAGTTGGTAGATTTCATCTGGGATGGGGGGGGTTCGTGCTTGTTTTCGACTCGGGGGCCCCCGCTGCGTTTTCCACTCAACCTCTTTCCGACCCGACCCGACCCTCAGTCGATTGGGTGAAAGTGCTTAAGCTCTCTTATTCTTACTATTCTTACTGTGTCGTGCTAGGTGTGACTCTTGAGAGAGCCGGTACAGCAAGGAATGACAGGCCACCGGCTCAAGGGCATCAAGCTCACCAACGTGAGTTGTACTCTTAACTCTGCCTGACAACCATGTCTTCGCTTTGCTAAAGATCCGCTACTCTAAACATCCCTGAAGTCTTTTTCCCAACTCCACCAAGATAAGCACGCCAACCTTGCTTATCTCGAGGTTCAGCAGCGAATTGCCAAATTTTGCAGAAACAAAGAACACGCTCATACAATGATGACGCCAGTACCAAGTTTGCATATGCAGCGAATGGCTAGCCAGAAGTTCAAGCTAATTTCGCCTAGGAGTTGCTCCGAATTGCAGCCTTCAGCTCAGATAGAACTCCGACAAACTTGGAAGAAGTCTTTCAACATCTAGAGAAAACTACAGCGTGCCATGACGCACAAGGAGCATGGGCAATGTGGCATTGCGCATTCATCATTTGCCTCCTCCACAGCTTCCTCCTCCTCCTCTTCTCCCTCTTTGACTTGCTCCATGAAAAGGGCCTCAGAAGGTTGCATGCCATGCTCCACTGCAAGGGTGAACCAGTGGACCACGCTTAGCTACAACAAGTACAGGTACAAGCACGAACGGAGCATGCCTCAGCTTCAGCATAAGTCGTTGGGTAGCCTTCAAGGACATAGCCACGGTAGCGGCCTTAGGCACAGCAGATGCATGCGAGTGATCAGAGAACACCTCTCAAAAATGCTGGCATCCCGGCACACGTTGGAGAGGAGGCGACTCTGCACCAACTTTGTCCTCAAACACTCAAACGTTGAAAGCATCGTACACGGTAGTCACCAGCAAAAAAAAAGTCGCGTCATGCAACCAGCTGAATAAGCATCATCGCAAGCATCGTCTGGTCTGGAAGCTGTATGAAACCATCCATGTCAATAGATTGTGGACGCACTCCGCAAGTTGTGGCTTCTCCGCAGCACCAGCAAAATCCTTACAAATAATTTCGCAGCGCTTAGACTCAATTTTAATTGACCTGTCCAAGGTGCCTCCGGACAAGTGTACTGTGAGACGCCAACTATGCAGGCGCAAATTCCCGGTCCAACCCACCCTCACGTCCACTTCTCTTACGTTTCTCCTGTTCTGCTGCTCCGCCGCCTCCTGCTTTTTGCTTCCACGTCTCTTTCTCTCGGTTTCTTTCTTTCCGGGGCTGTGCCCCCGGGTCAGAAGGGGGGGCTGGACGAGGCAGAAGACAGATCACTTACAGCAGCTTTCTGTACGGGCTATGCAGAAGCCCACAGAGCCGACACCCTCACACAGGTGCTACGTAGCTACAGACAGGATGATGAGCTGAATTCTGCGAGAACGAGAAGTAATGGCGCCGGCCTCCGAGTGTGAACTGCACAGGCCCTTTGGGCCCTTGGGATGCGGATGATGCGGAACGCTCTCGTCCGTTTGGTTGCACATGATGGCCCATTGTTTGCACCTCACGACGGCCGAAGCACGATACTCTTTCGACCGTGGCTGTTCCTGTATAGAGCTCGCACCTTCTCTCCGTCCTCGACGCAAGGGTTGTGTCCACTTGCGTACACGGTCAGTTGGCCAATACGGCACAGGACCAGCGAAATCATTCGTATCCTAGGGGGGGCCTGGGGGTGTTCCCGGCGCTATCTGCGCGCCCCCCGAGCTAGGTGGAGACTGGTGAAAGATGGGGGCTCTTTCTTTCTTTCTTGGGGGCATGGGGGCCCCCCAGCTGATGCCTGCCCCGGTATTCGGGACACGGCGGTTGACTGTTAAGAGCTGCGGTTGGGCCAGGCCCCTGCCCCACACACCAGGTCCTTAGCGTTCCTTAGTGGTCCTTAGTGCCCCCCCCCCCCTTCTTCCCCCTTCTCTTGTCCTGGTGCCTGTCCCCCACTTCCGCTCCTTTTGGGTGACACTCATGGGCCACCTACTTCTGCTAAGAGAAACTGTCCCCCAAAGGCGCAAACGGGCTGTCAACCTTCTCAACTCTAACCCCCACCAACCCAGGTAACACCGAAGTCCCCGAAGTCCTCCCCCAAGCCCCCAAAGTGTGCGAGCCGCTACCGAGCTGCCTTGCAGGGTTAGATCGCCCCATCTCTCTCTCTCTCTCTCTCTCTCTCTCTCTCTCTCTCTCTCTCGGGGAATGGAGCCTGAGTTGCAGCGGAAGCTTCTTGCTTGGATCGGCCGCCAGCTTCTGCACCTGCAAAATTGCTGGCTGGCACATCTGCCAAGCATGAAACCTTTTGGCCTGAGGACAAGATACCAGCCTTCTTCCGCAATTTGCGACCGGCTTTGTTTGGTACTGCACACGCGTCCTCAATGATTTGCTGGTAGGTGAGATGTGGCGGCTCCTCGCATCAAAGAGTACTCGTCAGGACTTTGGCGTCAATTTTACATGAACCGAACTTAACCTGCTTATGCCAACAACATGCCATAAAAAACTCTAGAAATGCCCACCTCATGAAGGTAGTGCTTGGCAACACGAGCCTGTAGTAGCTGCAGAGAACTCGACATTAAGCAACAGGGACGTGTAAATGAGGCCAGCTCGCAAAGTCGCTCAGCCCCGCATCCCGGTGGGCCCACGACCACCTGCCACACGCATTCAGAAATCTTAAGAGTCTTAAAGAGTCCTAAGTCAATCGGAAAATCAGTAGCAGAATCTAACTTTTGGTTCTCGACGTCAGCAACGGCGCACCATCTTTATTGGTCGAAGGTTTCGCCATTTGCAGAACTCTGCGGCCACCTTCCACGATTTTGATGGAGTCAATGACTGCACCTGGGCCTTTCAGGAGGTAAAGCCATCGCCTTCTCTATGTTGGCGATGATTCCGTCGCGGCACCACCAAGCAAACTGGGGATCCTTCGCAAGACAGTAGTATAGTATATACTCAACAATGCGCTGATACCTACTGCAGCACGCGAAGAATCCAGCACGGCACACATGGGGCAAGTGCTGTAGCCGCAGCCTTGAGAGGGGCGGAGGGCTCAAGGATGAGATCCAAGGACATCACCTTTTGAAGACCCAACGTCAGGGCGAACTGATCGACACTGATCGGCCCACGATGCCCCGAGGCCTCTTTGAACTCGGAGTCTACTTCTTCTGCTGGACAGACAGGCCTCAAGTTCAACTTCCACTGCACCGCGTCTGACGACAGCTCGGACGGCTCTAGCACGCCCACAAATGCCAAGAATCTCAGATCACCGCACATCTCGACTGTGTGACATCTGAGAAATGATTCCCTTCGGCGGCACGAAGATGCTCATCGTGCTATGGCGAGTCACTTAAAACAAGATACGGGGCCTGAATGATCGCTGCTTGCGTCAGTCGCGAGTGGTCAACGGCCTGGGATCGGTGCCACTTCCACATGCATCCTTACGCGCTTAAGAATATTGCGTTCTTGGCGAAAATATTCAACCGATTTGCCGGAAACAATCTTGGCTGCTAGAAACTGATGGCGCACCATAAGGTTCATGAACTTCACAAATACGTGTGACACTCACACATTGCTCGTACCTCTCGCAAAGTCTGCAACAACCTCTCGGGTATAGCAATGCGTCGCTCTCACAGAACATCCTACAGCTGGGGTACAGCTGGGCTACAGCAACGCCAAAGCTGTTGATCTGCAAGCTGTGCACCATCAGCCCATGAACAGCATAGCAAGCAAGCGAGCAAGCAAGCAATAGTTTTTCAATGTGACTGAAGAATGTTCCGGCCGGAAGTATCGCACTACGTTGGGCCTTTCCCAGCTTCAAAGCCCTGCCAAGAAGAGTCCAAGCACTGATCAGAAGGGCGTGCGACATACAAGCGACGCAAATGAAAAACAATGAATGAAATGAAGAAGTTCTGTAAAGATACTCTTTCGACCCCAAGCTTTTGAACATGATTCCTCCTCAGAGCCTGACCATCAGGTATGAGCTCACGGACGCATCCGAGACCACCACGCGAACCAGTCGAGCAACCTGTCTTGGTCGTGTGCTGGTGAGCCACGAAAGCAACATGATAGACATCGGCAATATGAGCAAAGGCAACTATGATGTCATGTAAGCCGCGCACGTCGCGGACATGTACGCATGGAATGTAGTTGTCTCCTCAAGCCACACCCAGGAGCGCAGCCCCCTTTCGTGTAAAAACCAACCTGGAGCAATGATCTTGTGGACCGGCTGCGTCAGCCAGGCCTTATTTGCGTTGAGCTCATGGCCAGATGAGCCTCCAAAGGATTCCAAAGGATCTAGGGATCTACCTATACCGTCCCTATACTTCGAGGATCTCCTGCAGCGAGCCAAGCGTATGGTGTGCTTCACATTAAACGGACTTTCCTCATTAGGTGGTCCTGTGATGCAGCACATTGCAGCACTGTTGCCACTGCGTGCACTGACCATGGTGGAAACGCGAGTGTCTGAGTCTCCAGCAGCTTTAAACAACTCGTTGAAAACAGTTTCACCTTGCAAATCTTGCGCAAGTGCGACTCAGAATGTAGAGAAACTAGAGTTCTCGCAGCGGCGCCGAGGTGCCGACCGTTGCCATACAAAACGCCAGCACCGATGACATGTGGTCGAAGCTTGGCTTTGGAGCCTGGCCGCTCTCTACAAAACATGATTCTTACCTTGTCATGTGAACGATGGGCTGCGCAAGCGTCACTTTGCGCGACCACTTCTTCACAACTGCAGTCCTCATCAACAGTCAACCGGACACACAACACAGCACAGCAGCTGCTTTCCGTGAAAGATTCCCCAGCGCCGGCCAGCTTCGCATTTCTAGGAGTAATGTCAAAATTGTGCTAACATGAGGCCCCTTTCAGTCCATGAGCAGATTTTGTCTGTCTGGACCTCCCGCCCTCGATGTCAAAACGCCGCAAAAGCAACCAGCAACACCACAAGCGCCAGCCCTTTGACTGTCAACTCGACGCATTAAGCATGGATTCAGCTTGGAGGGTTCTGTCTACTTTTCTTCGAGGAGGGGGTTTGACCAAACCCCAAAACAACAAACGGCAAACTTCTTGTGTTTTGATGAGGAATGAGGCCCGAAGGAGGATATAAGACTTGAATGAACACTAGTTCAACGAGGCCAAAACGAGGATTTCTCAGGGCGTGGCCCTGAAAGAAATCCAAATTCAACTTAATCCCCGACTGCCAGATTCCTCAGGGCGTTGCTTTTCCTTCATTGACTTCAAGTACGAGCGAAGCCCAGACAAGGATCTCTCACGATGTGGTTCTGGAGGATGTCTCGCTGCCCTGCAATTCTAAAACCTGATTCAATATGAAGTACGACATCTTCTAGCCGACGAGCGCGTGCTTTAACTAGTTTTGGTTTTGGCCTGTCCCTTGCGGCATGTTGATTTTCACCAAGAAGCAAACATGCAGACACAAAACCAGTTTCAACTCCTTGCTGAGTATGCCGAAGAGTAGTGTCTGCACCATTGGTGTGCTTCGCTTGGTTGTGTTGTTGTTTGGCCTTGTTTCTTTATGGTTCTCTGCAATTTGGGAGTTTTTGCTTGGAGTTACTAATGTTTTGTCTGCTGTTTTGGTTGCTTTTGTTTTGGGCTGAGACTTTCTGATGTGCGTCTACGAATTTGTTTGATGTTATCTGCTTTGACTATTCTTGACTGTTTATTTGGGATTTCTGGCGTTTCGTCTGCAACTTTGGCTGTCGTTGTTTTATACTTGTGTTTGCTGTTGTTTGTGTGTTGTTGCTTAGGGATTTTGTCTGCGTTGTGTTGTTTTTTGATTCTCGTGCTGTGTGTTTTGGTGATGTTATTTGTTTTTCTAAGGCTTCCCGGACACAATGTATACAATATTGATTCTTGCAACTGCGTTCCGTTTTCATTCCTTGCCGGTTCTTAAACAAGCACAGGAAAAAAGGAGGTATGGATACGTGGGAGGGGTACCAGATTAGTATTTCATGAGAAACAAATTTCGAGTGCTTTTGGACCTCCAATCGCCAAATATGCTCCAAGACACGTGGGGCTTACGCTTCACTTAACCCACCCCAATTGCTCTTCAGAGAGCCAGCTTCGGTTGGGGGGGTTTGCCGGGCAGGCGTTGACAATGAAGAGAAACGTGTATGCTACGTCTGCTACGTCCCCCAAGATTTACCTTTGAACTAAGTCATGCAGGTCGGGCTCAGCGAGAGCGTCAGTGTCTCCAAGTATTTCCAGGCCTCGGCGCAAAACGTGGAAAACACCCTCAAGGTAGCCGAAGCGATCTGAGAGCCAGAAAAGAGTCTTTCCTCAGGGGCGCCTCGTAGGCTGCAGCAGGCACACGACGCTCCAGGTCCGCGTCCGTCAGCCTCAGAACTTAGTGAAGACTCAGAGCGATTGGCGAAACACAAAACAGCAAAAGGTCGTGAAGCATGCCAATCATGCTACACCTCACAATACCTGCGGAAAGATCACCGAAAAGAGGAACTCACCAAAAATGGCCGCTGTTGGGCTGAGCAGCTCTTTTGGACGCTTCTTGACTTCCACTTCCTGCAGGCTTTAATTTTAAACCTCTAACATACCTCTCCTCTCGAAACGCAGAATCCAGAACTGGCTTTCACATGGGGACCTCCACTTCATCCTCTCCGCCTTCCTCCTCCTCCTCGGGGCCTGAAGAAGGCAACATGGGCCAACATGACTTCAACTCGAAAGATGATTATTCTCGCAATGAGGGGGCGCTGGGCGACCGACTAACCAAAGGCACGTACTGCTTGCGAGTATTTGCCCACGCCTTGGCACTTGGCATGCAAGAGCCTTGAGGCACAAGCTTCGCCAAAAAGGAAGGAGGCCGGTTGCCCAGCTGAGTGTCACACCATCACGGAGGATATCAGAACGAAAGTGGTGTCATGATCGAGCTCTGCCACCTACACGTGCAGTTGAAACGACGTGAACCTGCTGCATGTCACATGACACGGCCATCGTTTCTCGCAGCCTTCAGCTCCTTTATCAATGTCTCTACCTCAATCACAGAATGATGCCGACGCTCATGACAGCCCCGCCCCACATCACTTGGGGCTGTGCATCGTTCAGATCAGCACTGTGCAGATCACATACGATCAAAGAACACCTGCAAAGAAGCAAAGCAGGATCAGGGACAGAATGTGGAAAGCCCCACTAGCCCCGGAATGCAAAGTGAAAAATACTGGATTCGCCAAAAATCTGCGGGAACTTGCTGCAGAGTGTGTTGGCGCCGTTTGTATACTCTAATGGCTAGGCTAGGCTTGGGAGATCTTGGGTTACCTCTTGGCTTGTGGACTTGGGGCCTGACTCGCCAATTCTGACAAGCGTTAAAAGCCACGTGAATGATCGGCAAATCAACCCAGATCACCACTCACACCTTATCAAAGACTGCATTGCAGCCTTGTGCATTCCAGCCTCACGGCTCTAAAACATTTGTACTTGGAGGTTCAAGGTACTCATAAACAATCCGCCGAGGCCGGAGGCCTGAGGTGTTTAGATCCAGGTCTAGGGAATGTTAGACAGGTCTACCCACCCGCCGACCCCCCTCCCAGGGCTCCGCAGTGGCGGAGCAAAGTGCGCTGCCGGGTTGTTACATGCCGAGGAGGGAGACTAGGGGCAGGTGGCAGGGCATTTTTGACCCTCGCCCCCCCCCCCTACCGCCCCCCCCCACCAACCCCCCTCCCTTCGCGTCGCTTTTAAACTGAACGCAAAGCATGAGCGGCCCGTCGGAACCCCCCCCAATGAGTTCATCCTCCACCTCCCCGCTCTACCACCCCTCCTAACTCACCCACCCCCTACCCCTTCCATCATCATGATTTCTCCTGCCACTTCTACAGCATCCTGCGGCACCCCCTACTCACCCCCCTTACCGCTCGTCGCCGCTCGTGAACATTCGTGAACCCTTAGTTCGCCTTGGTACCCTTGCCGAGGCGGCTTCACGTGGGCGGTGAAATTGCAGTTGTACTTGTGACCGTAGTATGGTTCTAATCGGGCCATAAGCACAGTTTTATTTGATATTAAGAACCATAAACCTCCAAAGGGTTGGGTTCTAACCTTACACCTTAAACCCTAAACCCTAAACCGTACACCCTAAACACTAGCAAGGCCTTGGAAGGTCTGGGGGATCCCTTCAAAAACGCCCCGGAGCCCCGCTTGGCACGTACCCAAGCTTAACCCTAGTTCTGGTTTAGCGTTTAAGGCGTAGTGTTAGGGCTTAAGGCTCCAGGCTTAGGGCTTCGGGAGCACATTGCCTTCCCGCCCCGCCATGTCCCACTCCCACATCCCCCCACACGTCTCCAGAGATCAATGTCCATGTTCCCATCTAGGAATGGGTGCGCATCCATGCCTCCCAAGATATGATGACGCCTATGCTTTCCGAGCATCCTGTGATGCTACGCTCGTCCAGATGCTACAACAACGTCCATGTTCCCAGGCTTTCCAAGAATGTGCGAATGGATACTGGCAAGGTTGCTCATGCAGCATGACCAATCCAAGAATATGTGTCTGAATAAGAATATGCATTCTGCGAGAGCATGGAATTGTGGAAGCATACAACTTCGCATCCGAGAATGCCCATGGCAATAGTGGCCCAAATAGCGTCCATGCTACCCCAGCATCCAATGATATGCGTATCAAGCGGGCCCGTTGGACATCCCCGGCGTGTGATGGCATAGCCTTGTCCATGCTGGCCTAAATGATCTTGAACACTTCAAAGCCAGCCCACGAAGACAAGGCACGAGAGAACGTCAGAGAGGTACTTTTGCTTGTTCGCGCGGGCAACGACTCTTTTCACCTTCAGTGTGACTGTCGCTGATACTAGGCATCATGATGCATGCTGAAAAGCTGAGGCTTGGGCCCCTAGTGAATGCAGAAGCTCGCCATCTGCCTTCAACATCTTTGCAGGAAGCTTGGGATACTCGGATACACCCGATCGATGCCAACCTCCGCAGAGTCTTGCGTCAAGCTGCCCAAGATGCGGTTCTCCTTCGATTTGCGCTTTTATCCAGTAGTTCAATTTCCTTCACCACATGTCCTGATCCAGAACTTTTCGCAAGTCAGCGCACAGAGCTCGACCTCGCAGACACACACGCAGCAGCTGCGACTTCAATTGACTTATCAATTGGCTGTTCATGCTGGGGCGTTAACCAACATAGCTGTCTGCCTGAGCTTGCAGATGTTGTGCTCCAATACACAATACATGAACATGCACAAACACAACCGCAGTCTGCGCATGACAAATTGCGGAAAGCCGCGTTGTTTATGAAAATTCTCATTGGCCACCTGTCTGCATCAAGGAACCGATTTGCTGGCATTGATAAGCCCGTGAAACGTGTCTCACCAAAGCAAGCAAACGTCTTGCCTGCTCCTTTGCCGAAAATCAGCAACTCTGGGTCTGGAGATGTGCTCCACCGCTGAAATTATGCATGCACTCTAAGTTTACAACTAGCTGATTCAGGTAACACGCAAAGAAAAGTTGAGAATACATGTTTCGTGAAATGCCCCATGCACCATGTCTCACGAAGCCGCAACTGCAGAACACATACTCTCACATACGTATGTATACATATATCTCCCTTGACTCTCAGTTCTCAAGGAAGTTTGGAAGGTTGACCCCTCACGGCCGTAACTTCCGACACAGTTGACCCCTGGGCTCATAGTCCTTCTCGATGTAGCCTATGTGAAACTCCAGAAACTCCGTTTTGAATTCATGAGGGGCCCACGCCCCACCAACCCCTACGCCCTACGCTTTTGAAATTTGCTTTGTAAAGAACATCAGTCCATGACGAGGACTTGTATGTCAGTTTGAAAATGTGACATCAGCCCATAAATAGGTTGCATTGAAGAACATTGTGTTTGCAAATGGGGCGGATTGCGCCCCCTTAAAAAAAGTGGTACCGGAAAAGGGCTTTGAAAAAATGTGCTAAACAAATCTGCACCCCAATTCTATGACGAGACCCCCGAAGCTTCGTCCAGGGTCGTGGATGCCCTCGCCACTTGAAAACATGCTCACGAAAAGGTTCGAATCTTTTTCTGCTGTGTATGTCAGTAGGACATACTTTCACCTGATTAAACATATTTTAGAGGAGAATCGCTTTGTCATTGGTGCAAAGGCAAAGCCCGAAAAAGTGCGAAGCCGACAGCAACCCTCCCCTAACCCTCAACTTATTGCCCCTTTTTCGGTGGTGGCGTGGTGTGTGGGGTCACTGTCTTGTCCCTTGATGTCCCTTCTATGTCCCTTTTTTTCCTTGTGGGAGATGACGAGGCACACGTCGGGCTCCCTCCGTTTCGGAGTGCGGGCCACAGATGGCTCGGAGACCCTACCGCGGAGCCTAAGGCGCGGCTGACTCGGCGGCCGGTGCCTTTGGCGGTGCGGCAACTTAGAGATTTCAATCCCGGGTCCACGGCGCCGCCGTAGACTTGCCGGGAATGGGGGCAAGCGACTTCTTTCCTCGGCGGCGGGGAAATGGGTTGTCAGTTTTGTCAGGTTTGTCAGTCGGCTCCTCGGGGTCTTTTTGGTGCAGTTTGTTTACAAAAACGCGTCAAACATGCAACCTGACAAAGCTGACAAACCTGACATCTGCTTCCCGGACCCCGACACGACAATAAGAGTCTTCAGGGAGGGGCAGGACGACGGGGTTGTCAGGTTTGTCAGGTCTGTCAGACAGGGGCTTGGGCGGGGATTTGGGCTTCTGTTGCAGCAAAAACCAAGCCACATCTGCGACCTGACAAAACTGACAAAACTGACAGTCCCCAGCCTGGCCCCGGCGAGTCGAGTTGAGCTCAGGACCTGCCCGGAATGGGGGCAAGCGACTTTTTCTCTCGGCGGCGGGGAAATGGGTTGTCAGTGTTGTTAGGTTTGTCAGTCAGCTTTTCGGGGTCTTTTTGGTGCAGTTTGTCTACAAAAACGCGTCAAAGGTGCAACCTGACAAACCTGACAAACCTGACATCTGCTTCCCGGACCCCGGCACGGCAATACGAGTCTTCAGGGAGGGGCAGGATGACGGGGTTGTCAGGTTTGTCAGGTCTGTCAGACGGGGCTTGGGCGGGAATTTGGGCTTCTGTTGCAGGCCACACCTGCAACCTGACTGGCCCCGGCGAGTCGAGTTGAGCTCAGGACCTGCCCGGACCCCGGCAGCTTCAGTATGCCGACCTGAGCACAGGATGCGTGCAGTCTCAAACAACTCCGCGGCTCAAGCGAAAGGGGCGCTTCGAGCTCGCACGTGTTTTTCGGGAGCACTCAAGCGGCTCAGGCTTCTGTACGCCGAACTCGCTGCCGCTATGCACATCACCGCCGCGAGGTTTCGTCGCTCACTCTCGCACGAGGCAGGCAAGGCTCCACATAGTGACGTCTGACGAGATGTGATACATCCCCGAACACAGCTCCGGACAATCCCATCAGGAAAAACACGAACCAGGTAAAGAGGGTGCGACCTACCACCCCAGCACTCCCCCGATGTTCTTGCGGGCGCGGCGTGGGTTCTTCCTTACGAACCCTAAAAGGAAAGTAATACTAAGGGGTAGTCTCCCCACAAGAAGACCCCCAATATACACTCACCAATACTCAAAAGGAGCCTTAACTACACTCACCAAAACCGTAATTTGAACCCCACTTCACATAGACGCTTCTGTAATATGCCACTGCCTCCTCGGCGAAAATGTCTTGACCGCGCTCGCGTGCTGCGCCGGCCCGGATGGGCCTGGCCGGAAAAACCGGAGAACGAGTTCACTTCGGCAGGGCGCTTGTGAAGCTCTTCGGCACCATGACACCATGATCCGCAAGAACACGCGCTCTGCTGCAGTCCCGTTTCGGACTTAGGGGCTTAGGGTGCGATCTGCAGCTGCTCCTCATCATGCTGTTGTCCAAGCGGGCAAGTGGCCACAGAAAACAAATCGCACGTGAAACGCTGCAGCGCGTTCGGAAACTGGATCCGATCCCAGCTCTGGCTGAACATGTCGAACCTGTGTCCAAAGGTCAAGGTCTGCAGTTCGCTGGGGAACTGGATCCCTTCCAAGCTCTGGTTGAAAGCATATCCAAAGGTCAAGGTCTGCAGTGCGCCGGGGAGCTGGATCCCCTCCAAGCTCTGGTTGAAAGCAGCTCCAAAGGTCAAGGTCTGCAGTGCGCCGGGGAGCTGGATCCCCTCCAAGCTCTGGTTGAAATCAAGTCCAAAGGTCAGCGTCTGCAGCGCGTTGGGGAGCTGGATCCCCTGCAAGCTCTGGTTGAACCTGTATCCAAAGGTCAAGGACTGCAGTGAGCTGGGGAACTGGATCCCTTCCAAGCTCTGGTTGAACTCCTCACCAAAGGTCAAGGTCTGCAGTGCGCCGGGGAGCTGGATCCCCTCCAAGCTCTGGTTGAAAAAATATCCAAAAATCAACGTCTGCAGCGCGTTGGGGAGCTGGATCCCTTCCAAGCTCTGGTTGAACCTTTCTCCAAAGGTCAAGGTCTGCAGTGATCTCGGGAGCTGGATCCCCTGCAACCTCTGGTTGAAAAAGTCTCCAAAGGTCAAGGTCTGCAGCGAGTTAGGGAGCTGGATCCCCTCCAAGCTCTGGTTGAACCTGTATCCAAAGGTCAAGGTCTGCAGCGAGTTAGGGAGCTGGATCCCCTCCAAGCTCTGGTCGAAACTGTCTCCAAAGGTCAACGTCTGCAGCGCGCTGGGGAGCTGGATCCCCTGCAACCTCTGGTTGAAAGCATATCCAAACGTCAAGCTCTGCAGTGCGCTGGGGAGTTGGATCCCTCCCCAGCTCTGGTTGGACTCGAATCGAAAGGTCAGGGTCTGCAGCGAGTCGGGGAGCTGGATTCCCTCAAAGCTCTGGTTGAACCTCGCACCAAATGTCAATGTCTGCAATGCACTGGGCAGCTGGATCCCTTCCAAGCTCTGGTTGAACCTGTATCCAAAGGTCAACGTCTGCAGTTCGCAGGGGAACTGGATCCCTTCCAAGCTCTGGTTGAACTCATATCCAAAGGTCAAGGTCTGCAGTGCGCCTGGGAACTGGATCCCCTCCAAGCTCTGGTTGAAAGCATCTCTAAAGGTCAAGGTCTGCAGTGCGCCGGGGAGCTGGATCCCCTGCAAGCTCTGGTTGAACCTGTGTCCAAAGGTCAAGGTCTGCAGCGAGTTAGGGAGCTGGATCCCCTCCAAGCTCTGGTCGAACCCGTCTCCAAAGGTCAACTTCTGCAGCGCGTTGGGGAGCTGGATCCCCTGCAACCTCTGGTTGAAAGCATATCCAAAGGTCAAGGTCTGCAGTTCGCTGGGGAACTGGATCCCTTCCAAGCTCTGGTTGAAAGCAGCTCCAAAGGTCAAGGTCTGCAGTGCGCCGGGGAGCTGGATCCCCTCCAAGCTCTGGTTGAACCTGTATCCAAAGGTCAAGGTCTGCAGCGAGTTAGGGAGCTGGATCCCCTCCAAGCTCTGGTCGAACCTGTCTCCAAAGGTCAACGTCTGCAGAGCGTTGGGGAGCTGGATCCCCTGCAAGCTCTGGTTGAACCTGCATCCAAAGGTCAAGGACTGCAGTGAGCTGGGGAACTGGATCCCTTCCAAGCTCTGGTTGAACTCCTTACCAAACGTCAAGGTCTGCAGTGCGCCGGGGAGCTGGATCCCCTGCAAGCTCTGGTTGAAAGCATCTCTAAAGGTCAAGGTCTGCAGCGCGCCGGGGAGCTGGATCCCTTCCAAGCTCCGATCAAAATCACGTCCAAAGGTCAAGGTCTGCAGTTCGCTGGGGAACTGGATCCCTTCCAAGCTCCGGTTGAAAGCATCTCCACCAAGCGTCAAGGTCTGCAGTGTGCCGGGGAGCTGGATCCCCTTCAAGCTCATGTTGAAGCCACTTCCGAAAGTCATAGTCACCACCTCGTCGAAGGCACAGGCATCTGCCTCGTTCAAGGGCTTCCCCACCAGTGCTTTCTGAAAGCTCGATACGGCGCAACCCGCGCCAAAGCTCCGAGCAACGTAGGTCACGTCGTCGTCTGCCACCTGCTGCAGGAGGGCCTGATGCAGGTCGAGCATGCTTCCGCCGGAAGTTAGCAGGAGGGACCCTGCGGGGCGGCCAAGTCTGGCTGCTATGTCTCTCACCACTTCCCAGCCCATTGCCGCAGAGCCGACGTACAGCTGGAAGGCGTGACCTCCGAGACCGTGGATGCTCAAGCTTCGCCCGCCTGCACCGTGCCCGACAGGCGGGACGGAACGACTCTGGCCGTCCATCAAGCCATGGCTTCCTGGCTCTTGGCCGTCGCTCCTCTCTGCGAGATGTGCTGGCGAATCTGCTCGCTTGCGCTTCCAGCTGCAAGCTGACCTGGCCTGGGCTGGGCAGAATTGGGTAGGTCTCAGCTACGATCCCGTCTCAAATCCTGCACAGCATACCCGACCGCGCCTTTTTGGCAACTTTTGGCAACCGCTCCTGCACAAGAAAAGGCTTCCAGCAACTGAAGCTCCAGGAAACTCCCTTTGAAGCGGTCCTCCGGCGGCCCAGCGGCGGGGCGCTTCTTTGCCGGCATTGCGAATCGCTCCAGAATTTGAACCCAAGCACAGCAAGGTTGCAACGGAGGTCTGCTCAACCAGCAAGCTGCAATGCCAACCCGCGCGAACAACAATTGCACAACAGGCCTCATCCACTTTGTTGGAGGCTGGACCATAGCCCACACCTGCCAACAGCATGCTGGCATGCTCATGTTGAAAAAATGTGGGAAAATGATACAGGAAAGCCCGCCTCTTCCAAAAGGGGAGCCACGCCAGCCGCCAACTCATCGACTTGCACACCTGGACCGAGACCATAAGACCATGCCTGCACTACTGAACCACAGCTCCTGCACTTTACCTCATTCCTGGCCGCCAAGACCTCGCGATCTTCAAACGGTCCTGCGAGATCTCGAGCAGGTCTAGTGCCAGTCGCAGCTGACGATCCCACAAACTGTCCTGCCAAGCTGGATCACGGAACAGAGTGGAGCACGTCTGAGCTACGAGCCGATCTCAAACAGCGCCTCATCTTCCTTTCTGGCAGCGTTCTTCGCTCCTGCACCAGAGAGAGCTTTAAAAATCTGCTTCCAAATCGGCTGGCACCCCTGAACCAAAAGCCCTTTGTTGCGAGCTCAGAGGGCTGCAGAGCCGCAAACTACGTACTGTTGGTTAGTCGGGAATGAGGGAATGAGGTACACTACATAATCCATTACAGGGTACATTTCGAGGGGATATAGGGTACCCTATAGAATCCCTTCCAGGGATTATATTTAGGCTATATAATCCCTTAAAGGGATTATATTTAGGGGGTATGTAGGGTACCCCATTCCCTCAATGCCCTACTAACCAACAGTAAACTCTAAGAGCCGCACCATGGCAGGCGGCTAAGCCGTCCATTGCAAAGATCCTCAGGCTGCGAAGTGCCGTCGGCTTTCTGGTTTAGGGTTTGGGATTTAGGGTTTAGGGCTGAGGCTTTAGGGTTTAGGGCTTAGGCTTTAGGGTTTAGGGTTTAGGCTTTAGGGTTTAGGGGTTTGGGTTTAGTGTTTAGGGTTTAGGGTTTAGGGGTTAGGGTTCAGGGTTTAGGGTTTAGGGTTTAGGGTTTAGGGTTTAGGGCTTTCCGTGTCTGAAACTCATGTGGTAGACTGTAAGATAGTAGGCAAGGGTTCTGCTAACTAATTATAGGCCTTTTGTACCCTTTGGTATCCTTGGCTGACCAATGACACCATGTCAGAAACCGAATTTGCGTCCTCTCAACTTCACAGGGGCCCATGCCGAAAATGGAGAAGGCACTTAAAGCAGGCGCTTCTCAAGATCGACCTGTCCTGGGGCTCTCACACCAGAATTTCCGTTGTTTTCTGTATAGGTCTTGAGGTCTAGGGTTTCAAAACAGCAAACCGTACAACCCCGAATACTGAAGCCCTTCGGCCCTACAACCTTTGAAGGTACTCTAAACGAACACGAAATCAAAAACACAGATATGCAAGCACAAACGCAAACACGCAGAGACAGAGACAGAGACAGGAGATACAGACAGCCCTGAATCCTGCTTGGAGGTTCAGGGTACTTCTATAACCTCATTCAGGGTACTCAACCGCTTGTGACTGCCCAGAACCCTATACCCTAAACCTCCAAGTACCCCCCAAAAAGGGTTTAGGGTTTAGGGTTTGGGGTTGAGGGTTTCAAGAAGCTCTACTGCGCCAGGCCACCGCAACGGCGGTTTTCAACGGCGCCGGTGAGGCGTAGACCTGGGCCACGGCCTCCATATGACGATTTGGTCACTTCTCAAAAGGGTTTAGGGTTTAGGGCTTAGAGTTTAGGGTTTAGAAGTTTCGGGTCCTTACTATTTAGGGTACCCAAAAAAAGGCCATAATTCAGAGAACTGACGATATGGGTTGAGAGGTTAAGGGCTTACAGGGTTTAGGGTTCAAGAGGTTTTAGAGCTTCAGGGTTTAGAGTGTACGGAACAGGCTTTCAAAGCCCTGAACCGCAAAACCCTGCGCATTGAAATCGCAAATTTTCGGCCGCAAACCCTGAACAAACGCAGATGTGGGGTTGGTCAGGAAAGCACCATCCCACTGGAGGAAGCTTTCAATATCCAAAGGAAGCGATGTAAACAAGGATCCCGCTCCAACAAAAACCAGGAACAGATTTCTGAACCAGCACAAAACTTCAACCCCCTAAACCCTAAACCCTAAACCCTAAGCCCTAAGCCCTAAGCCCTAAGCCCTAAGCCCTAAGCCCTGAGCCCTAAGCCCTAAGCCCTAAGCCCTAAGCCCTAAGCCCTAAGCCCTAAGCCCTAAGCCCCAAGCCCCAAGCCCCAAGCCCCAAGCTCCCGGAAAGCCTCGTCAAAAAACTTCCGCCGCCGTGTTCGGCGATCCGAAGCAGACTGTGCCAGGGGGGGCTTCGGGTTTACAGGGTTTAGGCTTGCACGCTTTGCACTTCAAAGAGTACGGGGGTTTAGGGCTTAGGGCTTAGGGTTTAGGGCTTAGGGCTTAGGGCTTAGGGCTTAGGGCTTAGGGCTTAGGGTTTAGGGTTTAGGGTTTAGGGTTTAGGGTTTAGGGTTTAGGGTTTAGGGTTTAGGGTTTAGGGTTTAGGGTTTAGGGTTTAGGGCTTAGGGGGCTTAGAGGGCACAAGGATGACACCTTGGTGTAGGGTTTGGGCGAAGTGACCAACCGTTTTACCTAAACCCCAAACCTCTAGCCCTACAGCACTCCCCTCAGCTCTTGCAGTTGTTCGGGAATTTGGGTCCCCTACTAAGAGCCCTTCGAAGGATAGACTCCCTAAACCCCAAACCCTAAACTCTGCCCAACTCCCAAAGTCACTACTAAGGCCGAAGAAGTAAACCCACCTAAATTTCGCAGGGGCCTCCTAGGGAAGAGTGATGCAGGGTTTAGGGTTTCGGGTTTAGGGTTTAGGGCTTGGGGCGTCCATCGCCGGCCTTTGTAGGGTTTAGGGTTCAGGGTTTAGGGCCCCTAGGGAGGCCTGTGCAGCACAAGTGCTCTGGAAACCTTCGCTCGACACTTGGGAATGGGGGTTTAGGGTTTAGGGTTTGGGAAAGAGGGTTTAGGGTTTAGGGGTTGGGAATGAACGTTTTAGGGTTTAGGGTTTAGGGTTTAGGGTTTAGGGTCGGAGGTTAAGAGGCTGGAGGAATAAGACACAAACACAAGCCTCTAGAATTTCGGTAGTGGCGCCGTCCTCCGTCGATGGAGTGGCGGGACGCTTGGCGGGGCGCTTGCTTGGCGGCTTTGTAAATCTCTCCAGACGTTGAACTAAAGCACCGTGCAGCAAGGTGGCAGCGCTCAACCAGCAAGTCGCAGCTGCACAACCTGCCTCATCCACTTGTCGGGGTCATGGCCCGCACCTGCCGATAGCATGCTGCCATGATCACATAACTTGTGCATGATGAAGGAAAGCCCGCCTCGTCACCCCGCATAAGGGAAGAAAACGAAGTCCAAACAAATCATGCCCAAAATGCGCGCAAACGTAGATCATGTCCATACTTAACAAGTTTCAGGATTCCTATCTTCCAGACACATTGTCGGGTATCCTTGTCGGTAACATTTTTTAGTACTGGTGAGGCTTGACTTGCTGCTTTTTACTGATTTTCATGCCTGATTTGAGGTCAGCTCCAACATCTCTGGCCTGCGCCCAAGATAAAAGCTACAACATATTCAAACAAAAACCATGTCCCAGTCGTGGGCACCGCTTTCCTGATTGCTGGCTGCTGCGCTGCTACGGCCGCTGCGCTGGCACACTGCTGTTGGCGCTGTTGCTGCTGGGCTCGGCGCTGTTGCTGCTTGGGTGGTGCTGCCGGCTGCTGCTGCTGCTGCTGCCGGCTGCTGCTGCTGCTGCTGCTGCTGCTGCTGCTGCTGCTGCTGCTGCTGCTGCCGCCGCCGCCGCCGCTGCCGCTGCCGCTGCCGCTGCCGCTGCCGCTGCCGCTGCCGCTGCCGCTGCCGCTGCCGCTGCCGCTGCTGCCGCTGCTGCCGCCGCTGCTGCTGCTGCTGCTGCTGCTGCTGCTGCTGCTGCTGCTGCTGCTGCTGCTGCTGCTGCTGCTGCTGCTGCTGCTGGTGCTGGTGCTGGTGCTGGTGCTGGTGGGGCTGCCTGCTGCTGGGGCTGCCTGCTGCTGGGGCTGCCTGCTGCTGGGGCTGCCTGCTGCTGGGGCTGCCACTGCAGGGCTGCTGCTGCTGCTAGGGCCTTGCATCACAAGAGCTGCGGCAGCGGTTTAGCGATTGGCCACGCCGGCGGTGGCGACGACGACCGACGACGACGATGCCGACCGACGACGATCCGACCACGACGGAAGCGGGGCTGCAAGGCTGGACTTAGGGGCAACGAGAAGGCCCGAACCAAGATGTCGCAAGTGTCTCAGATGGCGACGATGACGACGCGACGATGACGACGGCGGGCGAATAGGCCGGGAACAGGCCGCGGTGATGCCAGCGGCGACGACAGCGACGACGGCGGGGGAAGATAGGGGTGCGGAGGGCAGGGCGAGGGCAGACCTACGACGGGGAAGTGTTGGTGGCGACCTCGAAAGGCCCTGTTTTGGTGGTTGAGAAACCAGCACGAAACTAAGGATATAGACGACGGCGACGACGGCGAGGACCGCGCGGCGCTCGGACGACGGCGACGGTAACGACCACACTGGGACCGACGACGGCGGCAGACTCGGACGGCGCAACGGCATCACGGCGGCGACGACGAGGAACGACGATGCGACGGCGGTCACGACGACGACGACGACGACGACGACGACGACGACGACGACGACGACGACGACGGCGACGCGGGGGCGACGCGGCGAGAGCTGCCGCAGATGCCGATGCCGGGCCTCGATTTATGCCATGCAGGCGTGCGACTCGTGGCAGTGAGGGCATCCAATGAGGGCACTTGGGGCTTCTGTGAGGGCAGCCGGGACTGTGAGGGCACCTGCAGCGAATGTAAGGGAGCACCTGGGACTGCAGCGACTGTGAGGGGGCAGCTTCGCCGCGTCGTCGTCCCCCCGTCCCCCGCACGGTCGGCGGCTCGTCGTCGCCGGCTT